CAAAAAACTACATTTTCCATCTCAACATTCTTACTTTGCATTGTTATAGAAAATATTTCATGGCAGGCATCTACCATGAGAAAAGCTTAAATTGAAAATTATGCATCATTCTAACACTTGTAGCTATAAAATCTCCATAATTATCTATATTTTTAAAATAAAGCATATTACTGCAGAATAACAGAAAAAGAATAGCTGAAATTGCACCAAAGGTGTCATATGTATTTTATGGACAGCATGATTTGTCACCTGTCCTTGAAGTACTGTGCATATTGAGAAACGCTAAAAATCCAGCACAACCCCCTCAAAAACCCCCCAAAAATAAACACTAAAACACAAACCCCACAACATTTACACACATGTGATGTTAGAATGAGATGATTAGATGATTTTCAGAAATGAGAAAGTTCATCAGCAGGTAAGAGTCAGACATTGCACCACTCTTATTAAAGGACAAAACCACTGTTTAGCAGTGAGGGTTCATCATTCAGCTGGTCAGGGGGTTTGTTTTTCCCATGCCATATGAGATGAACACTAATCCAGAAAAGGCATACTTTAGTTGCATCAATTATGAGTCTTTCTTTAGTTTAAAGAAGCCATTTGATTTACTGATTATAGCCCTAACTCCCCACTCACTTTTATCTATGAGTTACAAAAATGCACTAACCAATTCTCCAACGAGTGGGTTTCATGAAGACTTGTTTTATAATCTTGTTCTAGGATTTAATGCAAAACTGGATTGATACATTGAATTATCACAGGAGAAGTTCTTGAGCTTTCAGAACATTATTTTTAAAGCACATTACCTGTCATCTCTGTGCTGTACATTTTTTCCCTTACTATCTATAAAAGTAATTTTAACAAAATCAGGCTGTACATTCCTAAATGCATAAAAGTGCACACTCAGAACTAGACTTCTGGCCTAGTAAAAGCCAGCAGAAAAAAAACCATTTTACATTAAATTCCAGTGATACTGAGAAAAAAAGACTGTCAGTAGTGAATAGGTATTTCAACGTACTGATCAACTGTGAGAAAAGCATGGATGAAAATGTATATGAAAATATACGTGTCTCCACTCTAGTTGTTAACATGGGAAAGAAGGAAGATCAGGAAGCAATAAAACCCATTGTTTCATTCTCTTCTCGGAAAATGTCCTTAACACAGAACCTACAAGCTGTCCTCTTGCAGTTTCTGAAGGTCTGCTGTTTTCATTCCTCATTCTCTGTTAAGTTTCCTTTGCATTTTTCTCTGGCTGAACACAAAAACAGTCTTTTCAGTTTCAGAAGTGTTTACAATAAAGTTAATTTCTCTCCTAGGTCTCAGATGATGGTACAAGGTTAGCATGCCCAGGATGCAAAATGTTTATTGTACTGGGACTTTATAGCCTGTAATGAAAGCAATGCCATAAATCATGCAAATGTCTGTTATACTCAAGATCTATGTCTGAAGGTGCTTTTTCTTTCCCTCTACAGGGAACTCTCTGCATTCTCCATCAAAAGATGCAGGTTTGCTTCCATAACTGATGTCTCCTTAGTGTGTTCCCAGGGGATTTTGTGAAAGGAAAATTAAATTCACACAACCTTTATGCCTTCTAACTTACTCTTCTTCCAAGCTCCTTATTTTGTCCATAAATCAGAAAAGTACCTGTGACTTCCACTGAAATTCCAAAGCCATGTAAATACAGGACTTACTTTTGCCATCCTTATACACGCACGATTATCACACACCTCAATGAGAATCTTGACCAAGGAAGGATTGAAGAATTCAGCTGGCATTTACATAAATCAAAAACAATTTTTTTTCTCCAGATATTGATAAAGCATTGGAATATCACAAATAACCTCTACAACAAGCTGCACCAGTTGACTTGGGTGCCCTGGCCATGATCCAGGTTTATGACTGTTATTATTACAGTGCTTGTATACTGTGGATGTATTACATTACCAAGAAAAACATTAATATCACATTAGCAGTAACCATCAGGGGCTAGTGATTCTTTATATACTGCACTGTGTTACAGCATGGGCTCATTTTCTGTCCCACTGGGTGTTCTGGTCTTTAAATATTTCAATGCTTCAAAGAAATTTTTGTCAGCCAACCACTGCATGCAACATTTATTTTTCTAGCTCTGCATGGCTAGTATAGAAATACATATTTTGAACATTAAATACAAGATGATCAGAATTATGGTGTCCCTCATTTCAAAGAAGGACAAACCTTAAGCTCACACTTTGTGCAGAAGGTCTTTGTGTGAGAAGAAATCACAGAGGACCAGACAAGGTCCACAGATCTAGAAGATGACATGTTACATGTTCTTTCCTGTGTCTGCTACCTAAGGCCATCCCATGCTCTCTTTACTCCCATGAGTGGGAAGGCAGTGCTTTGCAGCTCTAACCCTAGCATTCAGTGCATGAGAACCTGTCTCAGTTGATTTGCAGCCTGTGAAGAAGCTCTCATTCCTAATAACTCTGAAGCAGACAATTCAGACCAAAGGAGCTGGAGGTGAGTCCTGATGCAGAAGGTGTGCTATAAACATGAGCCAAATTTTAACCCTAATGGCAAAACCCCTGACCTTGCACATCTACATACACTGCTACTACCTTTAGCCACAGAATGTGCATCAGCTCACCAGTCCCACAGCTAACATGACAGAAAGGCTGTCCAAAGAACTCCTTGTCAAAATTACTGGTAAAACAAAGGTGTAATTAGTGCTCTCCTTAGAGCAATGCTTGCAAAAGAAGCTGCATGCCCATTCCTTTGTAACCACTATACAGCCCCTTCCACTGAGTTAACACCCCCCTGCCCCAAAACACTCTTTCCTCCATCCACCCGTGACTGACAATACCCATGTCATGTACAAGTTCCTTCACATGAAGCACTTAGTACATTATTTCTGTTCAATGACAAAATTCCTCTCTTTTCAAAGGGAATCCTCTGCAAATTAGGAGCATTCCTATATCTGTATCACCCAATATCTGTTGGCACTATTCAACTTGCTAGCATGTGCCAGCAAATACAAAGTTGACAAGAAGCCCAAGGTTTATTTGGCAAATCCCAAATGGCGTAGGCAGCTTCATTGTGGGTCACATTACTGCCCAATTGAACAAAACCAAGAAAGGGGAGCCAAACCTCAAGCTTTATGGGCCCATTTAAGCACTCATCCTGTGGGCATCCCAAATCACCTCAATGGCCAAGCAGGCAGGACAAGATGAGATGTGGCATGTTTCCATACTGCCCCCGTGCTGGTCAGCACAGCCCTGCCTCAGCACGAGAGAAAGGAGGCCATCCTTGTCTCTTCAAACAGACTAAGGGTAGAAAAAACTGATTCATCCAACATTGGTATGTGACAGCACCACATTTCCAGCAAAGCTGGATTGGGTCCAGCAAAAACTTGAAGGCACATCACAGAAGAAATAGGGTTCTAAACCTGAGTCGATTCCCTAACCTTATCCTAGTATGTCTGAACTGTGCATCACTTCCTACCAAGCTTAATCTAAAACTTGTATTGATTACAGCCCTCAGGACTTGCTGAGCATTTAGAAACGGAGTGCTGTCATTCTACCTGTGCTGTCTAGCACTACGCTCTGGTATGACACCTTCTTAATAATGGGGGAAGAGAGGAAGAAACAGAGCACAGCATCTGCTGCATGATTCCCCCCATCTCCAAGCCTCAACTGATTTATTGCAGCGAGGCTTTGGCACTGAAAGCCAAAAGAGGAAATTGGTTTTTAATGAAGAAAATAATCTACAAAGTCGAGACAGTTTTGAGAAAAACCTTCAATAACTGTTGTTGGAAGATTAGAGAAGCAGCCTGAATGTGATGACATGTAACGTTCATTTTTAAAGACATAAAAAAAAAAAAAAAAAAAAAAAGAGGGTAAGATTCACTATAAGACTGGAAAGTAATTTTTTCAGGAATGCAGCCTCCAGCCCCATTCCTTCTACAGGAAAGTTGCAGAGAGAAATAACCTATAAAAAGAGCCTCACAATTTTATGTGAAAATATGGTCTTATCAAAGGGTAGTTCTCCACTCACACTGCCTAATTAAAAATATTTGAAAATCATTCTTGGGATCATTTGAGTTTTTAGCTGCTTATCAAGAGGGTTAATTGCCTTTGCCTTATCAGAACAAACTGACTATGTTTTTAATTAATTAACTCGTCTTGTCTTCAAAAGGAGCTTGATCCTCATATTCTCAACCATACTACAAGTTCTTAATCCCTGAAGTGACCCCATTGAAGTCACTAGAACATTAGAAATGGCACAACTTAGGCTCGGGGCTTTAAAAGAAATGCATATGCCTAGGTTAAACAAACCCATGAACGCTTGCATGGTCGCCGGCTCACAGAGGGAGTAGCTTTCGGTAAGTCCCTAAGTGAAAGAATCTGGATAGCATTAATACATATTTGCATGCAATTGTGAAATTCGAGGCATTTTCCACTCCACAGTTTTCCAAGAGACAGACCTGGTTACAGTGCACTAGGAAAAAAAAAGAATAAAAAAGCAATATCTGCCCTCAGCCCTTAAAATGGCAAACTCTCTCCTCACTTATGACAAACCTTCCCTTTCACCTCGGGCAGGCAGCCCTGGCCGATGCCCCCGCACCGGGCTCTCCCAGCCCAGGGACCATCTTGAATCCCCGCACCTCCTCCCGGTCCGGAGCCGCCGCCGCCCCCGCCGCTCTCCGGACGCCCCGATCCCCCCGCCCGGGGCCGGGCGCTGCTCCCGCTCGCCCCGGGGCGCGGATCCCGGCCCGCCGGGGCTCGCTGGGCGCCCGCCGTGCCGGCGCACCTGCAGCCCGAGCCCCGCTGCCCGGCCCGGGGGCTCTCGGCAGTACCCGGGCGGCGCAGCCGGCACCGGCTCCGGCACCTGGACGCGCCGCTCCGGCGGAGCCGCCCGGCAGCGGCCGGGGCTCGGCGCCCACCGCCCGGCGCTGTTCCCGTCGAGGACGCGGCGGGCTCCTCGCGGCCGGCGAGCGCTCGCCCGCGGTGCCCCCTTACCGTTAGACCTTCGCACGATGTTCTCCAGGAACGTGTTCTGAGGCGCCACCAGCCCTCGCCTTCCCCCGGCCATAGTCGCTGAGCGGGAGCGCAGCGCGGCGCGGAGGCTCCGCTCAGGGCCGCGCCGAGCCGCGCTCTGCCGCGCCGCCGCCCGCCCGCCCCGCGCGCCTCATGCCCCCGCCGGGACCGGCACCAGCGGCTGTGCGGCACCGCCGCCGCCGCCGCCTCCCGCGCACCGCAGCCCCGCGCCGCCGCCGCCGGCGGCCCGCCCCGCAGCGACCCCCGCCGGCCGCCGCCGCGCCGCAACGCCGGGGCTGCAGCGCCATCGTCTGGGGCCGCGCCGCGCCGCGGGCTGCCGGCCCCGAGAGCGCTCGGCCCGACCGCGGAGGACAGCGCCTTCCGCCGGCCTCTGGCCCCGCTCGGGAGTGGCGGCCGCCGTGTTCGACCCCTCGCCGGTGAGAAACGCGGAGTGCTTAAAGACCGCTCACAAACTCCCGGCAGCCGCTCTCTTGGCAGCGGGAGACACCGCTCCGGAGCCTTTGCTCGCCGCCCTCATCCCAGGTCGCGCTCCACGCTAGCCTACGATGATTTCTGTTAGAAGGCCGCTTAGTAGTAAGTGGTCAAACTTATTAACAGCTCCGTGGAAGCAACGAGACAAACTGTTTAAGTATAACCTTTGACAGGTCTTGAACTCTTTGAGATATTTAACTGACACCAAGTTTTCATTCAGAGATTCATTTGTTGTTCCCCCATACCAATCTATCAGTAAATGGAAAACACTCAGATCTTTTACATTTAAAAGGCATATTTTCTCTAGCTGGCACTGGCATTTACTTGCTGTAATGCCTCATTAAGTGTAACACCTTCAGGCTCCGCAGCTCAAGGCATATTGGAGACATGGAGAGTATGGTTCTGCAGGCTCATCTGCTAGAGGAAAAGCTATTTCTCACAATGTGAGCAAATAAAGCATGGCAAACACGATGGCCTGTGTCAGCCGGGATTTTTAACCACTACCACCTTTCCACAGAATGCTGGCACTGCCCATCCTGCTCTCTCCTGGGTAAAGATTGGGGCAGGACCAGCCAGGAACCACAGTCAGCTCCAGCACAGCCACGCACATGATCCAATTCAGGGTGTTTTTCTAAAAGCACAGCTGTGACCAAACACTGACTGTGACACAACACTGCCTGAGAAGTCTGATCTCCCTGCCACCAGCCTCCTACAGCATTTTTAAGTGAAGAGTGTGAGACTTGAGGGGTGAAGGCAGGTGACAATTCCATTGCAGCAGCAGCTACAGACCAAGTCCCTGAGCATGCTGGTGCCATCAGCCCCTCACACAGCTGGGATCCTGGGAACTCCTAGAGCCCCTGTGGGCCAACCCAGCTGCCAGGCAGCAATTAGCTGTGCCACAGAAGCCTCTTTTAAACTGGTGATTATTTCTATGCTGGACACCTGCATTTGCTGCCAAACAGAGGCAGGTTAGGAGAGAAAAAAACCAAAACAAAACCCAAAAAAAACCCAAAAAAAACCCAAAAAACAAACAAACAAAAAAAGCCACAAATGCCTGAAGCTGCAAAAAGGCCACCAACTGTCCCTGAAATGCTGGGATTTAAAAGAGCCCATAGAAGCATTTATTTGCATCTTTACACATCTAAGTACCACTAACAACCATCCATGTGAGAAATGGATTTATAAAGAACTTTTAAAACTTGACAGAATGTTCATATAATTTTGTATATTTGTATATAAACACCGAAATAAGGTGTGTTGATTTCGGAAGGTCATGGAATAGAGACAACATTGTTGAGAGAAAGACTTAACTAGAAAAAAGTTATAATAAGTTTTAAAATACGGTTTTGTAAAAAGACTAGATATTTTAGAGAATTAGAACTGTGAAAGATATACTGTAATAAGATTATGTAGGATAAAAATATAGGTGATTAGTGTTAGAAGTAATAGCAGCATTGTGTGGTAAAAGCTAATAGGCTGAAAAAAATTTATAAAGTATTGAAACCAGAAAATAAGTTAGCTTCTGATGGAATAGCATTGAGTTTTATGTCTCTTATGTCTCACCCTTCATCAAGAGTGACAACAGAATAAAATCTTTTAAAACATCTCTCAGTTGCCCCATCTCTATAAAAGCTAAGAAAACCAACAAATCCATTCAAAGCTTATTTAGTTACCACTAGCTTCAGCAGCACAGGCCAAACCTGAAGAGATTCTAAGCTCTCTGACAAAATTGTAAATGTAGCCTTTGACACTGAATTTACACAACTGCTAACAACCAAGAGTGAGATTAGGAAAACTGGGATGCAGAGTAGTGTTTCATTATTCCTCAAAGCCACTGTGCCAGAGGAATGAGTGCACACTGTATCTTAGCTTCTGCTGGAATATCTGCAGGAATATCTGTGACTTAGGAGACACCTGGCAGCTGACATACATTACAGGAATTTTGAGGTCTTTACAGGAAAAAAGTATCAAACTGAATCAGCAAGTACAGAATCAGAAGTGGGAACGAGGTGACCTAAGAGTAAGAAACTGAAGACTTTTTTTCTAGGACTCCATGAAGTGTGGGCTGGCTGCAGTTTATGTTGCATTGTGTGGTCCAGTCTCTGATTACCTAATTTTTCAGTGTCCTGCTTAATCCAAAGTTTCATGCCAAAGGTGCTATTTTATCTACATTGGTTTTACATCTACCCTGTAACATTGCAAATGACTAAAATGCTATAGCAAATTGTAGTGGATTGACCTTGGCTGAGTGCCACATGCCCATCAAGCTGCTCTATCACTCCCTTCCCCAGCAAAATAAGATGGAAAAAAACTCTTGTAGGTCAAGAAAAGACAGGTTATTACAGCAAAAGGAAAAAAAAAATGTGTGCACACAAGCAAAGGAAAAAACCAAAGATTTTAGTATCTACTTCCCATCAGTGAGTGATGTCTTGCCACTTCCCAGGAGGCAGGGCTTCAGCACACAGTGGTTGCTCCAGAGGATAAACACTGTAAATAACAAATGTCCCCCCTCCCTACTCCTTTTCCCTAGCTTCTGTATCTGAGCAGGCATCACATGGTATGGAATATCCCTTTGGTCAGTGAGTCTGCTGTCCTGGTTATGTTCCATCCCAAGATTTTGCCCAGCCGCACCCTCCTGGAGAGGGGAAGGTGCTGGAGTGACAGGGCCGACACTGTGCCAGCACTGCTCAGCAGCAGCCAAAACCCTGCTGTCCTTATGGGCAGCTCTACAGCTGCCAATGCACAGCACAGCTCTGGGGGCTGCTGGGGGGAAAATGAACTCCAGCTCTGCCAGACCCAATAACAAATGGAAGATTTCTCCTCTATCTTCTACCTCCTTTGGACTTTCTCCCCCCTGCAAAATATGATTCTTGCTGGCAGTATGAATTTTTCACCACTAGAGCAGAGGACACTGTGATAATGTCTTACTGTGATTATTTTGAATTCTATACTCATTTTCTCATCATCACTGGTAAATTTTGCTAATGATACAGAGCTGAAGGTAAAGCCCCACTTGAAGCAGAACATGCATTCTGTCCAACTTCATTATTAGTGGGTGGTTACATCTCTCCAGCTATCACTTTTTTGAAATTTCAAAACTGGAGTTGCTTAATTTGCATGTTTGCTTAAGCCTACTGGATAGAACTAAATATCTAAACTAAATATCTACTAAATATCTATATTAGATATTTACTAGATATCTAGTATTTACTAGTATCTAGTAGATATTTATTAGATATCTACTAAATATCTATATTAGAACTAAATATCTACTTCCATTTAAGGCTAATGTAAAAAGTGATAGTTTGCTATAGAAGACATTCAGCTGTCTTGCATTAAGCTGTTCTTTCCTGAACAAGGCCCTAGGTCGGGATGTGTAGTATCAATAACCCCAGTAAGTGACCATCCTTTGGCTGCAGAGCCTTAAGCTCCTGTTCCATGGTCACACTGAGCAGCTGCTGCTGCAAAAGGGACAGATTTGCCTTCATCTAAACTGTGCATATTTGTCACCACACTGAATTGAAAACCAGCCTGAAAAGGGCAGCTAAGACACGTCCCTCTTTGGCAGCAGCCTGTGTTTACATCAACCCATTTACTAACATGACTGTCAACTTCCAGTGTTCATACACACAAACACCTTCAAAACATCAATTCCAAGAAATCATTTAACCCCACAGCATTTATGAAATAGAAACGCTGGAATTGGACAGAGCTCACTTCTTTCACTTTATCCCATGGTTCACCCTTCAGAGACACTAAGGTAACTTTAAAAACTTTCCCTTTGTCAGCCATTAGAGTCTCTTGGCAATCTGTTCCAACCTCTAACATATCTTGTGAGAAAGCTTTTCCTAAAATGCCACTAAGTCATCTGGTCTCTGAAGCCAATAAAAACTCTTCCTTCTGCAGTCACAAAAATCACCAACCCTTTTGCAAGTTTTCAAATGCATGAAAAGTTGCTGTAATGCTCATCTGTCACCTCTTGCTGCCTCGCAGTCTGGACAAACCCAGTTCTTCCAAAGTTGCACAAGGCTTCTGCTCTTAGATTCTGCCAGTACTTTGGGACTTCTCATTTCACTGTCACAGCACCAAATGGGTAAAGAAACATGGTAGTTAGGGCCATCTCATAGGCTAAGAATTTAGCAGGTTTATATTGAAAAGAACTGGTTAATTTAAGGTCTTTTTGATTTCTTCTCTGTTTTGCACACTTCCTTTTGCTCTTTGTAAAAAATAAACTGTCAAAACCAAGAATCATAACACAACTATAACAAACTACCACCAACCCTAAAAACAAAAAGAGCATTCAATCTTTAAATTGAGTTCAGTTTGTATACTACCATATGGCTTTTGATAAACTGTCAAAATTCATTAATTGATTAAATAACAAATTACAGAAGGTAATACACAAGTTACTAAACAAAAAAAAAGACATCTGAATTCCAACTAAGGTGGAGAAACAATTATAACTTTATTTATTTATTTTTACATTCAAATCAATAAAGCAGTCATTATTGTACAAATTCTTACCCCCAAAGGAATGCTGGCAAAGGCCTCCTGTTAAGTAATAACATCCATGAATACTTAGTTGCTTGTGATTAACCTTATTTGCTATCTTGAGGGAAGAGCAATGAGAAACCAAAGTCCTTAAAACTAAGTCAAGTCAGTAGTTTAACAAGCACATGTCCATCAAAAGGAAAGACTTTGAGAAGATAACTGTGCATCTTACTGAAACTGCTCCATTTATTTCTACACTATCTTGAGATACTCACCAAGTTCAGCCTGAGGTTCCTAAAGGTCCAATTATTTCTGGGGTCTGAAATAAACTCAAAGAAAAATCCAGTCACACAGCAGACTGTAGACCTAGGAACTGAGATATGTTAATATTTTTAAGCAGCCATAACATTTGCCAAACAATAGATATTAACACTTTTCTCGTTTTGGAATTACTGAATTTCCTCCAGAGTTTTTATGGGTAACAATTATGGAACAATAACTAAAAAAATCCAATGTTCTGAAAGTAAGAAAAAAATCTCAAAATAAAACTGATGAGGGAGTACACAGCCAGTTTTTATTTATACATCTAACATTTGGAGTGTGGGCTAACAGGGAGGAACTGTTCCTTCTTAAAGAACACCTCAAAAGGGCATAGAAATTTTTTCCCCATTTGGACAGCATGTCCATCTCCATTCTCCTTTCTCTTCAATAGGAGAAAGCATCTTGGATTTCCAGAGTAAGGGAGGGGAAAAATAAAACTCCTAGAACCCAACATAAAGTCACCACACATCTTGTTTGGTACAACAGCCACTATCACCCTTCCCCTCACTGCAGCTGTGGCTACTCAATCCTCTTGGCTCAACCCTGTCCTGGCATGGCCAGTCTCTCCCTGCCTCAGAGCAGAGGCAGTGACCTGCTGCTGTTGTTACTCAGAGAGGGGATAGAAAATACCCATAGTTTCTTTGGTTCCAGGTTTGGTGGGATTTTTTAAAATATTTAAATATTTACACAGTGTTTACACAATATTTAAATATTGTGTATTGTGAAATATTGTGTATTTCACTGGCCTCATTTTTCCTGTGTCTCTCGATCAATATAAAACAATGCAAAATTGAACAGTTTGGATGCAGTTTGCTTGAATTCTAACAGAATGCAGGGTCCTGCTAAGTAATTGTTACAAATAACTTTATCTGCATGCCCTGTCCACAATAAACCCAGGAACCCCTAGTTCTGGGTGATTTGTTTTTTGTAAAGTAGCAAGGAGCTCTGAAGGCTGAATTACTGTATTGTTACTAATTGCATCTTTATCTCTCAACTGTTGTATAGTAGTTTCTAATATAACAATATTTTTAGAGCCACTTTTAATCCTATGTTTTCATAACATACTGTCCAAAGAATAAAACTGAAAATTAGATGGATTAGGCCCAGATTCAAAAAAATAACTCCTAGTTAGGAATATGCTTGTGCTAGCAAGTCCTCCTTTTTTTTCTTTGTATTCTACTAGATAGCATTTTCCAAGAATGTAATAATGCCAAAAATTCCCAAATAATACTGAGTCAGACTCCCCAGATTATACTCTTTGGTAAATTTAAAAAGCCCAACAGTCATAAAAGCCTCATTGTTTGTTTTCTGGACAGAAGCATCCCACCTGTGAGGCTGAGAGTGGTAAAAGCATTGCTAGTGCTTCTTTCCAAGCAGCCTCTCCAAAAAAATACACCTTAAAGAGTACCCAGCATAAAACTATCCTCAGCACAGTGAATAAATTTCTTGCACAGAGCTTATATTTTATAGGTTTTGCCTTTTATGTACTCAGAATTCCTGCATTGAAGTCACATATTTTATAAAGTTTCTTACCTTAAGACTTTACCATACCAGTTCCCTGTACTTTTCAGTTACGGAAGGTTTATCAACAGCCAGAAATCAACCTCTCCTCCAAAAAACCAAAAACCTAGAATAGAGAAGGAAAAAAAAGTAGACTAAACTCTTGTCACTTTATTTCATATTTTTTCTGAGTTTAGCATTTCATCACATATTTCCCACTTACTAATGTCAACAGGCTGCATTACTCACATTACTCACATGCATTACTGCTTTCTGTGTAGACAAAACCTTGCTGCTTTTCCCTCCCACTGTCAAAGAATGCAAAAGTAGCCAAACAACTGAGGAGCATAAATCTGGCAGGGACGGCGGGAAGGAAGGGTTTTGTAACTAGCATAGTACTGCCTTTTTTTTTCATTTAAAATTTAAATGAAGTGATACCAAACTGTCTCATTCTAACTAGTGTCTTACTGTTATCTCCAGCAATTGCACTGAGAATAAAATTACTAATTTTCTAAATTTGATCATATCTTAAAAGCAGTTTTTTTCCATGGTCTTTATCAGTACTGGACTCATATTCATACCTAGTAACTGGTAACCCATGAGCTGTTGGTTTTCATAAACACTTGCATACTTGCCGGGGGGGAGGTTTGTCTTTTCCAATTTTGGTTAATTTTTTTACAAGTAGAAGAGGATTCTTTTTTTTGCTTCCATCTATTATTGTGAAGCAAAGACTGCTACCAGTTAATTAATACAAAAGCTTCTTTGTTAAGTCACACGGTACAGAGAGGTATCAGGACATTCTTTTAGAATATCCAGACCTATCTGCAGCTACCACACTAAAACACAGCATGTGGCACATGGGAAGGTGAAATAAGGGAACGAGTGGATGGGGTGGGAATGCACTTGTTAGAAGTGTATGTTTACACAACAAACCAGCAGAACATCACATTTCAAAAATGGCCTTGCCAGTTCTGCAGTATCCATAGGGAGGGATCTCTGGTAGTGGGCTCAGAGTGTAACTCTGAAACCTGGGTCATCTCTTTGGTTTTGTAGAACAATATGTGTCTAACACAAATGGACCTCATAACAGGTTCCCAGACTGTAACATATTTCAAGTTTTATTTAGTTTAATTTAACTGAGGACAAAAGCCACCTTCACTAAAAGGGATGTAATTTAGATGGAAGATAGTGAACTATATAAGAGCAAGTAAAAACATCATCTCCAGCAATAAGAGAATTTAAAGCACTGGCTGAGAGTGAAGTTGAGTGGGTGTTTTTCTAAAAACTGTGTGGAAACCAACAATAGCAAGGTCCTAGTGGTATCCAACATTTTCACCCTGAAGTTGTGTATGCATGAGCTTTTGTTTTTCCTCTCAGTTTAACAAACACTCCAGCAGAAATTTTGTGAGCAGTTCATTCTTTCCAAGGACAATTTTGCTACTGTAGATTGACCCTTTATGTGCTGATCCATACCCTCAAATGCAAAATTGCAGATTTCAGTTTTATATTTATGTTGTCATTATCTGCCTCAGACAGGAGAAGAGAGAACATCATTCCTGGAAACACTGTACAATACAACTTGAAGAGCCAGATACAGGCATATTGATTCATTTGTTGTTGAGCTGCTGGGTTTTTTAACAGGATACTTTTAAGAGAACCATTTGTACTCCTAGAAAATTCCAGTGAAATGGTATTATAATAACAATTTCCATGTGGAAAAGTAAATCTTACTTATACGAGAAAAAATTCATTAATGATTATATTTTTGTTGCTTGCATCTCCGTCTTACAGATATCCTTAAAACAGAACCTCTTGGTGATCTTTCCTAACTGTATATCTGAACTGGGGATCATTACATGAGCCAAACAGTAGTTACAGCAGGAAAAGATATGACTTTTAAATAGCAGTAATGTTTTGATATCTACACAGTCCAGCAACACTGACCTTCAAAATCCTGCACAGCTCCATAACACAGCGACTTCTAAGAAACAGTGTAGACTTTTCTATAGAAACAACAAGATAGAAAGCAGAAATACAAACTTGTAATACATCAGGGACCTTCTTTTGGCCCTAGACAGTGTTACTTTCCACTTTCCACTTCCCTCCTTCCCCCATCCTTAAATCACAAGAAGCCAGGTAGGATAAGTTATGGAGGACAAAATTTAGCAGAAGGTGCCAGTATGCTACAGCATAAAATGTTCTGACAGTCCAAGGCCTAAGACATACAGCAAAAAAAGCTGCCACTTCAGGTTACTACACCACTCCTTACACCTTTTTTCCACATATAAAAATACATCATCTTCCTCAAGTGAAGTTCTTAACATTTGGTTCTTTCAGATCCCCCAAGATTACTCCTGCAATAAGACTTCTCTTAAATGGATGGGCAGTAAAGGGTTACAGTAATTTTATATAATTTGTCCAACATATTACTGATGTTTCCTTTATTCTCCCTTCATTTTCCTTTCCTGATTGGAAATTCAATTTCCAATTACATACACTGGCTGGATCCCAAACAAACTGTAAAGTGTTTGGGGCAAAGTTCTCTCTTTTTCAGGATTAGGCACACAACAATGGTAACACAGCAGAGCATTTTCTTTTCTTATTCTAGAATGTTTTAAAGAACATTTTTCTCAACAAAATAAGCACTTGGTACTATTAACTGCAAGGAGAAAATCTTGTACAGTGTTTGTGATGTTGCTTCATGGAAGGAAAAGGAGGAGAGATCCACAGGAGAGAGCATAAACATCATTACCTCACAGCAAATGGTCACCTCTTCAAGTTTTCAAGTTAGCACAGTGACAGGCAACCTGACAAGAGTAAAGCTAAGTTTAGCACAGTTTCCCCAACCGCATGGAATCAAAGCACTTGCTTTGCGTTTAGAACAACAAACAAAACCCCTCCCAAACCACAACAAACACACAAAAATGTAAACATTGTGCAGGAGAACCAAACTCCATTTCTTACAGAAGTTAAAGTATCAATTAGGTGACCTCTGCTTTCTGCTGAACAGTCCTATGAAAAGTGGTTTAGGTAGCTATGCAAAAGTGAAAGAGGACAAAGTAAAAGCACACTAGCTTATCAAAACAATTACAATATCTTTTTTCCCTTTTGTGGGAAACAACTAGCCCTAAACCCCAAGTATTTGTAAAGAGGTTCTACCATTTCAGCCATGTATACAGTATCTTCATACACAGTCTGAGAATCTTCATTGACAATACTGAATGTCAATGCCCTGATTCAAAGACATACTGCCAGCTATTACCAAAATTTCCTTTAAAAAGGGTAGGCAAAAATATAAGTGGTTAGATGATGACTTTCTGAAATGACCTATTGTCCTAAGTTGCCTGTGCAGCACAAGATGAAGTCAGCTACACTCAGCTTTTCCCACAGTGTGTTATCACATTCAAATGGACACAGAACCTCTTTGCTCTTTGCAAACAGTACAGCTCACCAGATATTTCGATTAACTGAAGAGAAATGAAACAATGATACTGAAAGGGCTGAGCAGGAACAGCTGTCCCTCCTGTCAAGAAAAAGATAAAATAATTTAAGGAAAAAAAATAATCATATAGTGTCAGTAAAATTCACATGTAGGAAGTCACTGAAACAAGTCTACAAATACATAAAGGTGGAACAGAAGTTTCTGTAACACATCCATAGGAACGAGTTTTTTTTTTAAGATACCAAGCTTTACACTTCAGAGTTAAAATCTTTAGAAGACCAAGAATAGGCTTCTTGCCAACACAGAATGGAGACTATGGCACCCACTCCAAAATGAGTTCCTCTGTAGAACTGTCAGGATCAAAGTACTGGGCAAGATGGATGTTAGCACTAACCCATTATGCTCATTCCTGAACAAGCCTTCCAACAGTGCAACAAATAATTTATCTCAAAATACTATTTTTAACAGAGTGCCAAGTCCTAACACTCCCCACTCCATTCAATGTATCCACCATTAAGACTGTACAGTCTGAGTCTCAAATTTTGGCAATATGATATGATACCTGGTGACAGGCATTTAAATAGGAAAAAGTATCTACAGCTGCTGAAGTCCTTTAACTTCTCAAAGGAACTGCAACATGACTTTCTTCATCTCCCAAGAATAATTTACCCTATTAGTTATTACCTGTTCTGATGCAGAAGAATTCCATTCAGATCTGGAAAGCAGATAACTCATGAAATCTTCAACTGGAAAACAGCACTACAAAAAGAAAGAAAACAAAGAAAAAATCTCAGTTGGGAGATATTAACAGTAGAAAGGCAGGAAATACTTTGCTGTTTCATTTTAATATAGAACAAATTTTTACTAACTTCTGCCTTAAAAGTTTAGGATTAGAATTCAAAAATACTAATAAAGGCTAGCTTGAGACTGAAGGCCTGATTTTCTAGAGCTGTAGAAAATCCACCATCTTCCCCTGGTTCCACTAAAATGTGAAGTCCTTGAAAAACTCAAGAATGTTGAATGAAACACAGCAACAACCATCATCAGTATAAAAGAACTAATAAATCTCACCCTGTCCACTCTAAGCCTCCCACTTACCACCCAGCAGGCCAAGTTGTGTTTAATATAAAAGAAACACAGGATTTGATGGATGACACCTATATATTTTCCAGCAGAGGCGTGAACAGACTCCAAGCAGTCTAATTTATCTGAAATTACCTTGATGCCAGGCATGCTTTTCCTAATGTGTTTATGACAACAAAGAGCTAACTTTTCTTTATGGAACAATTATAAACCTTCACATTAAAGCACAAGTTTCCAGGCTGGATATTGCCAAAAGGTTTCCATAGTCATCCTATTTTCTTTGGGTTTCACAAAACACACATCAGCTATCTATAATTTTTCTAGAGAAGCATCACAAATCTGTTGACCTGTTTCTAAAAATATTTAAAGACACAGATTTTAAATGGTGTAAGGCAACATTCCCAAGACAGGAAACTGTCAAAATGCTCTTTCCAAAAAAACTGAAAGCATGAAACTGTCACCATAAGATAAAAAGGACAACCATGTGATCTGCAATACTTTCCCTGACCTAGAATTTAATGAGTTAGAAATTTATAGTTGAGATGGGCATACAAGGGGTACGAAGAGCATCCAAAGAGCAATGAAGCTGGTGAAAGGTCTGGAGCGCGAATTTTATGAGGAGCAGCTGAGTGGGCAGGGGTTGTTAAACCTGGAAAGAAGGAGGCTGAGGGGAATATTCATGGCTGTCTACAACTGCCTGGAAGGAGGCTGTGGCCAGGTGGGGATTGGTCTCTTCTCACAGGTAGTAACAGGATGAGAGGAAACAGCCTCCAGTTGCACCAGGAGAGGTTTAGATTGGATATTTGGAAAACTTTCTTCACAGAGAGAGCAGTCAAGCATTGCAGCAGGCTGCTCAAGGAAGCAGTGGAGTCACCATCCCTGGCAGTATTTAAAAGATGCATGGATGTGGCACTTAGGGATGTGGTTTAGCAAAGACTTGGCAGTGTTGGGTTAATGGTGGGACTCAATTTTAGAGGTCATTTCCATCCTAAATGATTCTAAAGTAATACAGGCATGTTAAAACCTCGTTTGAAGAATCTAGTTTCTTCTGAATAAACAGTCTTTACCTTCCCCTAGCTCACCACTCAACAGTTAATACCATCATTAGCCCTTACTGCAAGGTAATAATATGCAGGAGCCCACACTCCAATCAGAGTCTGGTTTGCAATCAGCTCCAAGAACCCACACCTACAAAAATTGCACAAGGTCTCAACCCTGTGTGGAACATCCTCAGAAGCCGTGTAGGTTTCAAGCTGAGTTAATTGATGGATAGGGAAAGCTGCTTCCTTTTGAGCTTCTGTTTCTACTTTTTAGCAATTTCACTAAAAGGAAAGAAGCAACTGGTTCACCTTCCTTGTCTTCAACTTGTCCATTCCCTAATTCCCTTCCTCTCTGTTGCAATCCACTTTGTGCCCCAAGGATCCCTGCCCAAACACAAACCTTCCCCCTGAAACTATGACTTGGGAAACACGTTTTAAGAAGAAAGGCATAATCTCCAAGAATGCAAAACCGACGGGCTCCTAAAGAGAATCTTCAGACGGGCCCAATCTGCACCTTCTGAATGCTTTGGTTGCTTTGCTGCCCTCTAGGGCTTATGTCCGGAAACAAAAATTACAAATAGGGATACAGGGAATGAAGGATATACAGAAGAAAGGAGACAACATAAAGCAAGGAGAGGTTGTGGATGCCCCATCCCTGGAAGTGTCCAAGGCCAGGTTGGATGGGGCTCTGAGAATCCTGATCTAGTGAGTGGCATCTTTGCCCTTGGCAAGGGTTTGGAACTCGATGATATTTAAGGTTCCTTCCAGCCCAACCTATGCTGTGATTCTATATGCTAACATTAATCTAAGATGACTCCTTATGCATAGTTTCTGTAACAAATGCAGCACCAATCTCACAAACAACTATTTGATTATCATGTCACATCTAATCCAGAAGCACTCATATACTGAATGTGACAGAGGAACTGTGCAGAGAGGGATAAAAAACAACCAAACAAAAAAACCACAACCAAACAAAAAAAATTAAAACAGAAGACAAGAGAAGAAATAGCCCAACTTTCAGACTGCATGCGGGAAAAAAATCATTATATGGATCTGCTAATGTCTAAGTACTTGACTAAGCAAACCTAAGCCCTTTCATGTAACCTCCAAAATGCAGCTCCATCAGGAGCAGAAAGAGAAAAGGCCAAGCTCTTCTGACAATTCTCCTCCAAACCATGCCACAAGGAATCTCTCTTCCTTTCAGGTGGTTACTTTCATGACACCTGTAAGAACTTAACATTCCTGAAAGTTGTAATAGCTTACTAAAACTTCCAGCAGCTTTTATCAGTAGTTAAGTACTGTCAGACAAATACAGTCGTATGCCCAAATTTCACATCCATAGAAAATAAAGATAAAAAAATCTCAAATAGATGGCCTTACAACTAAAACAACAAATCCCAATTTCCTGCAAGTTTTCGTAATCATTTCCTGCTTTTTGTAAATTTTGTGCCTTAAAAGCACAAACTTTGGTTCAAGATTTTCCTGTGGCTCTGACATTTCAGTGTTTTCCTATTGTGAGGTTTTTTTGTGTACATTAAACTGTGAGGCTGCAAATCCTCAATTGCTGAGGTACTTGCAGGCAGTCAACCACCGCTATTCCTACCTTGTCCTTGCTAATCTTTCTCTCCAGCTCATGAAAAACAGCAAGCATAGAGGAGTAACAGCTTGTTTACTTGCATTTTTGATAGCCATCGGCCAAAAGTTGTCACAAAACCAGTTCTTCAAAGACCACAAAACTCCCAAAGCAGGAAAAGTCTTGACAATATCTTCCTGACATATTCTAGGAAGCACACATATACAAAGGTTTTTCAAAAGTATATAATTTGATCATAATGTGCTGTTTTCAAGGCAAGTATCAAGAAACAGCAAACACAACTGCATCCAACTATAAGCCAACATGAACACTTAGTAGCCATAAGTACGGACACAAGTGGTCATCTCCCCTTTATCTCACCTAAGAAAGCAGCTGCACTATTCCTGCTAGCACTCCTCAATCAATCATCAATCAGTCAATCAATCAACCAACCCACCAGCTTGGGGCCGACAGCCGCCAGGGCAAAGTTGGGGAAGAATGCTGAGATGTGACAAAGGGTAATGGATTGTGTCAGACACTCTTAGCTGGAACGTGAGACTTTAATTTGATATACAGCAATTAAAAGTTATACTTTTTTCCCTACATCTGGAAATCGGACTGATAAACTATCAGGGTATCATTAAAAATATCTATAACACATATAAAATCTTAGCCACAAGAACATTAAATGCGTTTGCACAGAACAAACCAGACTAATAACGCGTCACCAGATCAAGCAGCAAGACTGTTGTCACACTGTAACTCAGACTCAGTCTGGAGCCCGTCTCAGCCCTTTTTTACCTCATAAAACGTGAATATTGGAGATAAACTGCATGGTAACACCGCAGCACTTGGTAACGCACCGGAATTCACTAAACAGGTAAATAAATAGATCACTTTTTGAATTTAGAAAGAAAAGCCAGCACTGGTTCCCACACCGTGCGATTTCAGCGATGTGACAGCACCGCCTTTCCCCGCTCCGCGGCCCCGGCCCTGAGGTGGCCGGGCCCCTCCCGCGCCTCCCGTCCCCGCTCGGCCCCTGCGCGGCCGCGGCTCCTCCCGCCCTGGCCACAGCACCACCGGGCCCGCCACTCCCGCCCGCCGGGATCCCTGCGCCGCCGCCGGGAAATAGTCCCCTCTGTGCTCTGGGCCCGCTGGCCGGGTGAGCTCCACGGCGCGGCGGCGCGGCCGCGGTCCGGGAGGAATCCTTCCTTCCTTCCTTCCTTCGGCCGCGCCGCCGGCGCTGCGGCGGCATCCCCGCCCCTCGGCGAGATCCGGCCGGGCCGGCGCGGAGGGATTCCCGGCGCCGGGGGAGGGGGGCGCGGCGGGCGGGGGGAGGAGGTGCCCGAGGGGGGGGCGGGGAGGGGGCAACATGGCGGCTCCGTATTAACTTCCCCCCCCTCGGCAGCTAGCGCTGCCGCCGCTCTCCCCCGCTCCCAGCCCTGGCATGCCGGGCGCGATGGAGAAGGGCGCGGAGCTCTTGGGGGGAAAGAGCCGGACAGCCCCCAACGGCGCCAAGAGCAGCAGCCCCTCCAACGGGCACTACTCGGAGCCGGAGAGCGGCGGCGGCGACAGTGGCGACGAGCACGGTGCGAGCCTGGGGCCGCCCCGCCGGCGGCGGCAGGGGGGTGGCGGAGGCGGCGGGAGGGGCGGCGAAGCGAGCCGAGCCGCCTCCCCCTTCCCGGTGCCGGGGCTCCGCCGCTCCGTCCGTGCCGCGGCCGAGCCGCGGCCGCGCGTGTGCGGGGCGGGGGGGCGGGAGCGCGCGGCGCGGCCCCGCGGCTGCCCCCGCGGTACTTAACGATGGGGAGGGAGTGTCTCCCGGGAGCCGCCGCCGTCCCCATTGTTCCGCTGGAATAAACTCCCCCTTCCGCCTCCTCCTGCCCCCTCCTCGGCGGTCGTCGGGGCTTAATCCGCGGCGGCGGCGGTGGGCGGGGGGTGGCGGGGGGAGGAGGTGGCTTATTCCGCACGGCCGCGGCGGGGGCTCCGCCAGCCCGCCCGCCCGCCGCACGGCGGGAGCCTGGGACGGCGCCCGGGGACGCTCCAGCCCTTAATTTCTCTTCCCCCCTTTGCCTTGCAGATGTAGGAATGAGGGTCGGAGCGGAATACCAGGCGCGCATTCCTGACTTCGAGCCCGGTAAATGGCTTTTCGGCTGTAACCTGACATCTCCCGAGGCGGGAGGGGTGGGCTCGCCGCCGGGGCGGGCTCGCCCAGCGCTCTCCGGCGGCGGGAGGCGGCCGCGGGGCTCTATTTACGGTGCTTTGGAGCCTTTGTGTCGGCGACCCGGTGCCGGCGGCGGGAGGCTTGGCCGGGGCAGCATCTGCGCTCCGGGGGCGGGGGGCTTTGCGGCGGGGGATTCTCACTTCATTATCGGCCGCATTATGTGTATCCGGCGGGAGGCGGTGAAGCAGAAAAAAGCTTGATTTTTCTTTTTTTTATTTTTTTTTTAATTTTTCCCCCTTCCTGTCCTTAAACCTATAACCATAAAAAATATTTGCCGAGGGGGTGATGGATGTTGTCGGGCAAGGGTGGGAAGTGATGCGCCCTGCCGGAAGCAGAGCAGACCTGGCTGCTGGGTGGAAGATGCGCTCGGTGGGAAACTCCTGCTCCTGGTTTTGTGTGCTGTAGTAGCCTGGCTGGCCCCGCCGTGGCAGGCTGAGCTGCTCTCCTCCGCCTTCCTCGGCCCCCCAGCCCCGCCCCGAGCAATATGGGTACGCTCGCCCAGCCTGGTACTCAGCTTTAGCAAGTTAATTGCGAGAACGCTGCCGTGCCTTACTAGGCTGAGCAGGGAGGGCACAGGAGCGTTCAGCAGTTTCGCTGTAGCGGTGGGTCAGATGAAGCCTATGTACTTTGCTGCTCTCCAGGCAGGCTCCGTGGGTGTCGGGTGGTCTCTCACCAGAAGGGGATTGCTCCCAGGGTGCCTGCCAGGGCTGCAGCGAGCCCCTCGGGATGGTCGGAAGTCCCCACTGGCCAAAGAAAAGGCCGGGGGAAGCAAAGCACCAGGATGGGATCAAATGAATGCGTGATCTTGGCTTAAGGGAATGCCTTTCCCCTAGGAAGGAGCACGCAGTCCATGTCTCTTTGTTAATAAGGCTAATTGTTTGCACCCTTTATTTTTACATTGCCTACATAAAAATATACACGGGTAAAAATGATGGTTTCCAACCTCCAGCCTGGATTTGCTTTTCCTATAGGCCACTTAAATTAGAAAAACACCTAGTGTTTGTTTTTCTTTTGATTAAAAGAACTCTTCAGCCCTTGTAGGACAATTGAGGTTCTGTGGTTTCAATTTTGTAAACTGTATATGCAATAGTACCATTACATTAGTAACTACAGAACTAATTTTATGCTCTCCTATAAGCAGACTTTTTAGAGCTCCTAAGTGTTTCTGGGGGATGGTATTAAATTAATGCCTCTTTCTCCAATAACTAGGGTTAATATATACTCACCCTATCAGTTTCCTTAATAATGGAAATGTTTCTTTAATAATTCCTGAGTTAGAGGCATAATGTTTTATTATGAGTTATTATCCTTCTTGGTGTGTGTATTTTGCTTATTAGGCCAAGAAGGTAGTGATTTATTTTGGAACACCTAAGTCTTACAAAATAAATTTAAAAGTCCATCAAGTTTAAAAGTACAGCACTTACCAAGTTAACAGATTGTTTATCTGAGGAGATATCAGCAAGATCTCATTCTTTCATCTGCTTGGTTTTTTGGGTTGAATTTTTTTTTCTGGTGAGTTTTGAGGCATAATTTCTTAGAGACAGAAATAATGAGAGACAAAAATCTGTCTCTCCAGGTCCTTTTAGGTGTCTTTTTTGTAGCAAGTAAGGTAATAAGCTCCCCTTTAGTTCCCGGTTTGTATATATGGACATAGCACAGTATTTGATTGTCTTTAATTATGTTTCTTCTTGGAATTGTTCTAATGCCTTTTTTTTAGGGTTTATCAGATATTTTAGAGTATGTGTTTATTTGCAGTACTCTTGAGTGCTATTTTTTAAGCCCCTTGAAATAAATAGGTGGGAGAAGGGAATCAATGATGGATGAAAGTAGATATAACTCTAAGACATGAAAGTCAGCCCTGATAAACCTACAAAATACTAAAATGAGTGGAATAATACCAAATCCTTGGGTTTCACTTAGCCTGTCTTGAAAAATAGCCATAAGCAATGCTCTACAACAATACACTGAGGAACAAAATATTCATGATTAATGTGATGGCAGTAAGCATTTTTTAAAAATTTAATTTATGTGTAAAACAAGATCATTTTTTTAAAGAAAAAGTGCCACTGTTTTTCTGTGTCTCATGGAAGAAGTGGATTGTGGTTGGGAGCAGCAATTACGCAAAATTCACATTAGTGTACTCTTGCCCCCTCCACACCATATTACTTTTACAAGCAAACTTTCAGATACAGCTTAAGAGAAGTAGAGTTTTTAATTGTCACCAAGTGTTACAGCAATGAGAGCGATTTTGTCACTGCAAGAAACAATTTTAATAAGTAAACTTCAGTTTTTTACTTTATCTAATTTACTGAGTTAACATACCATCTCTTGCACGCAGATTTTTGTCTCCTCCTCCTGGTTTTCCTATAGTATTTTATATTTTTGGTGAAAATTTTTCTGCTTGTGCTTTCTGACCCACCTATAGATCCAATGGGATGTTACAAAGCTGGTATCCCTATATTGTGGGTTGTTTGCATTCTTTTGGAAATTGCAGTAGAGAATGCACCACTCTGTTGTGTCACCCACAGAGAACTGCTAGAGAAGTTTTATTCTACTCAGATTTAGACTTCACAATGGTTTTAGTATGAATTTTGCCTACTTAATGCTGAAATACTTAATTTCCCATTTACCCTCTTTTCAGGGATGGAGTTGGGGCTGTCAAGAAGAATGTTTTATACCATTTAAGGTCACTTAGGAAAGCATTTGTCTGTATGTCTTTATAACTTCTCTCTCTAGTCTTCTAATAGGAAAACAGGCTTTTTTAAATTGAAATTATTAAATGGTGTGGGGAAGGCTTAGTCTTAAGCAGAGGAAGGTACATCTTCTGCTGGAAACCAACATACTTTTAAATTGCCATGCTGCCCTGCAATGCCCTCACTGTGTCCTGTATGTTTCTGGAAGATCACCTTATTCTCAGTACCTGGAATCCTGCATAGAGCTGCACCAGCTGTGCATACCCAACTTCTAATGTGAAGCTGCACTTTAGAGAGGGTCAGTTTGCTGCTATGATTTCTGTTCTGGAAGTGGTGCCTGTTGGTCACCTTCAGCTGGCTGCATTTCCTGACTGGTACTGGCAGAGGGGTGCAGCAGCTGAAGTGCAGAAGCCTCTTCCTCAGTGGCTTGGAGGTGTGTTTTGGGGAGAGGGAGACTTGCTATTCTTCTGATGTAGCTCTTGGTCCTTCTCTTCCTTACTGGCTTACAGGTCTTCTAACACACTTTGGTTAACATGTTGCAGGGTATTTCCAGGCCCCCTCCCTTGTAAAAAAGATTGTGTTGCCCTCCAGGTGTAACACAGCCTCTTTGGGGTTAGGGCTGCTTCCTTGAGTGCTTGGGGCACAAAGCACAGGCAGGAAGTTCCCAGGAAGGTAGGTCGTGGTCTTGCATATGGAGATTATGCCTTAAGTTTTAGTTTTCATGTTTTTCAGATTCTGTGCTGCCTTGATGTGTAGCTCTGAGCTTCATATTAAGTGTTAGTAAGTTCTCTTCACAGGGTAGTTAGACAAAACAATCCTTTTCCAGCTTGAGAACCAAGGATGCAAGGAACCAAGGTTACAAGCTTCAGGCCCAGAAAGCATAAACTACAGTGAATTGAAGGGAGCAAACAAGGAGGATGAGACTTCATAACCTGAAGCTCTAATTAACCTCAATATGCAAATGGACTAAAACATAAAAGTGTGAAACCTTGTGAGCGGTTGTCCATTTTGTGACCGCTTTGGGTCTTTCTTGGGTGTAGCCCTGGCCAGACTCTTGTACTGCCCAAGGTGTATCCATTGAGGCCTTTTAATAAATACCTACTTTATTCTTTAAATCTGTCTAGTGTCTGTTCCAGATCAGCCTCTCAAGGCATCAGAGATGGAGAGATCCCTGTCCTACAGCCAGGGACATGCCGTGCTGAGGTCAGGGTGCCTTCCTTCAAGCTACCTGTATGCATCTCATTATTCCTTTGTCATCCTGGCTTTTCTATTGGCAGTGTGAAGGTGCCACCTGAATGGAAGCAGATGTCTAATTCCTGCTGGGGACACAGCACTGCTTTGAAAAGGGATGTTCTGGTGGTGGTTGCTTGTTTGTCATGTGAGGGTCATACCTCATAAGGGGAGTGTCACCACCTACATGATCTCCTGCAGGCACAAGAACTCTGAAACTAATTTTTTTTTTTCTTTAGTACTTGAGTATTCAGTATCTGGTAATATCCATGATATTTCAGTTGTGTGCAGATATCTCAAGTTTAGACTTTTTTTCCTCATAACCTGAGACTCTAATACATTCTCTCGTCATCCTGCTTTCTCCTCAACTTTAGCTAGAATGAAGTGCAGGATAGTGGTCATTTACTTGTGACAAGAGAAATGTTGTGCCTGTAACAGCTTGCCCTGCTCTTCATGAAGTCTTGCATTCCTAATGACTAAAAATGTCATGCTTTTTTATTCTAAAGTGGAATGTTATATTAAGGAGTTCGTTCTTGTATACCAAAAACCTTTCAGAGTTTAGTAGTGCTTATGCCTTGAACCTAGTGCTTTATGAGTGTATGCACATTCTTAACCTGTTACAGAGTTTATGCTGCACTGAAGTTATCTGCCTTACACATCTCATTTTGGAAAGGCGCAGGAGTTCTTTAATTAACTGTTTTCAAGTTCACAGTTGTGATGGATCAAGATTGCAGAGATGATAGCAAATACAAAACACTGCCAAACTGAAGAGAGAAGAGCAATAAAACATAGTACATAAAGGGAAAGCACTGCACTGTTCTTTTTTCCAAAGCACGGGGTTTGGTTTTCTGTTTGCTTCAAACAAGATGTAGAGCCTAAATATAAAGTGTGTAAGCTTAAAATGGAGTGAAAAGTTACTTGTTTCACTGAATAAAAAAAGCTGTTCTTCTCCAATAAGGATGCAAGGATTTCTCCTCTGAGGGTGATTACTCAAGGAATTCATACTGGCATTAGATATAAATCCAATTGTTGAGCAATTTCTTAGCGAGATAAACTGTTGTGAACAAATAGATTATAAGGGGCTTTGTTTTAGACTACATTTGTGCAATAGTAGTGGAAAGTGGCTCTTGACTGAATGCTTTTGCAGTATTGGGGAGTTTGCTTTTACAGCATATTTTCAAAAATCATATGCTCTGATGTAGTGCTTCAGTGTTTGCATCAGTACTGCTCTGTCCTGATGGGTTGGGTAATTTGTACTGCTTCCCTTGCTACGTTGAGGTGGGGGTAAAGAAACCAAAACCAAAAATTACTTTACCGTCTGACTGCTTTCTCCAGCTGTGCAATTTGGTTGGCTATGAGTCTTAAAATTATAAAATTAGAAAAATCAAAACTAGAGAGAGATGAACAGAATTGTTTCTGGTATAGTTGTTAGTATAGTTTCTTCTTGAAAGGGATCAGGGATGGTGACTGAATTCCAGCTCTTATCTATTTTTGTTTGTTTTAAGGAAGTCTAACTGACCACTGCAGGTCCTAGTCCTCCTATGATAGTGATAAACGTTAGAGCCCTAACAGACAATCAAACTTCAGGAGAACAAAGTTGCATCTTTGCCAACTCCACAGGGGGTATATTTAGATATAAGGAAGAAATTCCTCATTATGGGGTGGTGAGGCACTGGCACAGGTTGCCCAGAGAAGCTGTGGATGCCCCATCCCTGGAAGTGTTCGAGGCCTGGCTGGATGGGGCTCTGAGCAGCCTGGTCAAGTGGAAGGTGTCCCTGCCCATGGCAAGAGGTTTGGAACTAGAAAAGATTCCTTCCAACTGAAGCAATGCACTTCAGTGGTTTAATTGTGGTAACCAGGATACTGTCTAATATTTAGTTGTACTTGAACATCCTAAGAGTAGTGTTCGGATTCAGCCATTTGATATCTTAAGGAATTAATTGTGAACTATTTCTTACAGGTGCCACAAAATACACTGATAAAGATAATGGAGGGATGCTTGTATGGTCTCCATATCATAATATTCCTGATGCCAAGTGTAAGTCCTTGCCTGCTTGGGAATTTGGGGGCTTAAGTAAACTAAATAATTATTTCTGGTGTGCCTGTTTGGTCTTTATTTTACACACAGTGAAGCTGCAAATAATTAAACACAAAGCTTCTTTTTCTTTATTTAGAGAGCTCCAGATAAAGCAAAGATGATCTTCTCTTATGCTAGTAAAATCATTGTTTCAAATCATATTGCCTATTTTGTACTATCATCATCATTGTCTGTGAAACCTTTTGTTATTAATTAAAGAATAAAAAATCTGAACATGAGGAACTTGCTGCTTTAAATTCCTGGGAGAAGGAGTTGCAGTGGATGAATTTAGAAAATATTTGTTGAGGCCCACTTCAAGGGGAAATTATTACTGTTGTCACAGAAGGAAAAACCAAACATTTTTTCCCTTTAGGAGTGACCCGAAATACCGGAGTCATCTGACTAAATGTGATCAGTTATCTGTTTAATCTAGTTGAAACTTGTTTCCTGCGTTAGAATTTCCCATATGTAATATAGGGGAGTAAACTTTGAGGATGCAACCATGAGAACCTCATCCTCAGGACAGTTTCTATCTAATACCAGTAGTTAGAGATTTGTGTCCCTCTGTTTGAGGGAATGCACCTTCAACTACTGCAGAACAGTTAGAAATAAAATACAGCTGTGATTATTAAACACTTTTTTCATTCCTTTAAAGTATAATTAACTCTTTGCAGCAACAGTGCATGGCAGGGATATCCCTTGTCCATTTGAAGAAGGAGGATTTGATTATTTCCTCTTCTTGATAGTACTTCCTTTCACCTATTTAGTTGCCACTTAATTTTGAGCTCTTGAAGGTGAATAGGAAAAGATTTTGTTTAAAAATAAAAAGTGGGACCTAATTTCATAATGATGAAAAGTGTTCAACTCAAAGCTGACTCTAATATTGCTAAATATGATTTTTTAAAAATTTTATACCTTAGTTTCATTATCTAATTATTGAATTTTCATATTCTCTATTGAAAACTGACTTTGTGTCATAGTTAAAATCCATATTGGTTAGTGAAAGCTATAGTAATCTTGAGGATATGCATAATCATTGATACAGGATCTTCTTGCTGTAATTTTCAACATGTTTGAGAATACAAGCAGTAGAAGTAGTTAAATTTAAAGCTAACCCAGAAGGGGGTTCCAAAAAGGCATAGCCTTTCAATAACCAGCTAGTCTCTGCTTTAACTAAATAAATTATGAGCCTCTGTGGTTTTGTTGTAGTAAAAATGTGAAAGAAAATTAGCTTGTGTAAAAAGTTTATAAAATTAAATGTTTAGTAATGGTCAGTGGGTTTATTTATTATTAATAAAGCTGTGAGTATATTTAATATTTTGGGGGATCTGGATCTGGGCCTATGCAGTGTGTTAAAGCATGGGGAGACTCTTTCCCCATGTTAGATGGCTAATTCTGTCATAGAGCAGAACTAAAATTATAAAAGAGTAATTCTGACATTGCTTTGTTACAGTGGATGAATATATAGCAATAGCAAAGGAAAAACATGGATACAATGTGGAACAGGTAAGTGCTGTGGAATGAGAGTGCTCATTTAAAGGATTTTTTAAATATAAAACTATAACACAACTCTTATTTTTCCCCTTGGTTACCATTAATTAACACTGTTTCTCTTCAGGCACGGCAGCAAACACTGCAGTTAAATGGATCTGCATACAGTTGTGGTCTGGATTCTCTGCAAAAGATTGAGCTCTTTGTTTTCATGACATGCTCAGCTTGTAATGTGCACTTTTGAAAGGTTTGGTATGTTTCTTGATACACTGGGCATGTCATGCACTTGTGTGTGTATATTTAGCTAAAGAGTTTCTTAGGGAAGCAGCTTACAAATTTAAAGTTTAACATTAAAATGCAAATATGGTACAATTTTGAACCATTAATTGATAGGGATGGCACTGAAAAGGTTTCTTTCATATTGAAAAAAACCTGAAAACCAACCTCAATTGAGTGGGTTTTTTCAGAGGCAGGAGAACAGGCTCAAGTTTTAGCTCTGAAAGTAACAAACAAGTTCACTTTTTATTTAACAGCCTTTGGCCACCATTCCTTAAAAAGTAAGGATAAAACTTTGCTGGTCTTCATGTAGTTCTATCACAAAATTCTTCATAAATTCTTCAATTAACCAATCTGTAAAAGTGAGATTACCTGTTGCAAAAAAAAAATATTTGCTGTACGATTGAAAAGAAGTTGTATGATCAAGTTTTGGAGGATGGAAGCTTGCTCATCAGCTGCTGTCTGACAAAGAGGCTGCCAGTGTTACAATGTCTAGAATATACCTGTGGTTTGGTGTTACTTCTTTATGCCTTGACTTCTGTTAGGCAAGAGGAGGAACTGATGGATCTCAAGTCTCCAAGAGATGGATTTCCAAAATAACTTCTGGTACAAAACACTTGTAGACTCCTCACAATGGAACAGAAATTCTCTTTGCAAGAGGTGTTTGTCACTTGCCATTTTAACAAGAGCAGAGTTTGCTGTGTCCAGGTTGTCAGAAGATGTGAAATCAGGGGGTTGGAGAGATGCCTGGTGATCATGTCTGTGCTGTGTGATTGAAACTGAGTGGATTACATTGCCCAATTCCCATGCCCAAATCTTGGCATCAAATCTGCCTGTGGTTCTCTGGCAGAAAGTCCAATGAACATAAAATCCTTTTAGACTGTCTAGAAATGAAATTGTAAAAGAAAGTATATTTAAATTTCCCTTCCTTATTAGGTGCACATGACAAAGTGGCCATGCTGTTATTTGTGGATTGGAGAGTTATAGAAAGACCACTCTCACTTTGAACTTTCAGACTTGCATTTTGGATGATCCTCCAGCTACTGAAAAGTATTTTTATTTAAAAGTATTAATACTTAAAAGTATCCTTATTTTCTTTCTTGAGTGGGCTGCTAATAAAGGCCTATAAGGAGCTGTGTAGGTGATATATGCCTGTAAAGTAAGAAAGCAGGTCAGATTTGAGCCTCTCAGCCTAGTTCAAGCTGCTCTAGAATTACTGCTGCCATGCCAACCTTAAATTGTCTGGCTTTCATACCATTAATAAAGTATAGATGTGCCCACTGTCTCCAAAGAGAATTTTGTAACCTATAGTAAAGAGCCAATAAAATTGTAAATGCATTTTGAGAAGGGATTCTGCTAGTCAAATTTTATTTCAAACAAATAAATTGCCTGTTTTTATTTAACTTGTCTCAATGTTTTAGAAAATTGACTAAATCCAAAGAGGGATTATTTCTTTTCAAAGGCTCTCGGCATGTTGTTCTGGCATAAACACAACATTGAGAAGTCCCTTGCTGATCTCCCTAACTTCACTCCTTTCCCTGATGAATGGACAGTTGAAGATAAAGTCCTATTTGAACAAGCATTTAGCTTCCATGGAAAGAGCTTTCACAGGATCCAGCAAATGGTAAAGTAATATTTTAATCAGAAGCATTAAACAGCTCAGATGCACTAAGAACAAAGGCTCCTGTTGGGCTAAAATTTCATGTTGATTTCTGTGTAAGAGCTTCAGGAAGAACCTTGAATATGAGATTTAATTTAATTTCATCATGTCTCTTGGACATGCAGCTTTTTCACTCTAATGAAAAAAGCCTCCTCCCCTTTTCAAAAATGTGTATGAAATACATCCCTCCTTTCAATCTTACCAATGCATTTAAAATATTATTTAAAGGTTTATTTATTTATAAACAGAGCTGAATTATAATTCTGAGTGGAATTTTAAATTTTAAAAGAGTTAATCTGTTGATGAATTCTTCTAGCTCCCAGACAAGACCATTGCAAGCCTTGTAAAATATTACTATTCTTGGAAAAAAACTCGCTCTAGAACAAGTTTGATGGATCGTCAGGCTCGTAAACTAGCTAATAGAAATAATCAAGGTGACAGGTGAGTTCTATGTTCTTAAGTAGCTAACCAGAGACTAAAATCTTCCTAAGTAGAGATGTGAACTAATTTCTAGCCATTGTTTCCGTGTGAACCATGTGTTTCAGGTTTGAACCCCTGTTGTGCTGTCTCTGGTTTTAGCAAGGGGTTTGGTACCTGTGCTTTAAGAACTTTATCACTCCAGTCTGTGTGAGTTGTAATGGGAGATGGGAATGTTTTAATGAATAACTGTAAAAACAAGGATTTACACCCTAAAGTCTGTTACTGTCTGTGCAGGAGAGTGTTTTTGTGGGAGGGGTTGGACTTGTTTCTTGGTTTGGATTTTTGAGCTAATATGGAACTACAACTCAAAGTGCAACCACTATGAAGAGCTGAACAGTTTCAATGCTTATGCATTGTTTTATAACAAAAATTTATATAAAGTTGTTTTTTTAGAAGACTTACAACTGCTATCAGAGAGAATTAGAGCTCAGAGTAGTTTTGTTGTCTTGCATAGAAGGGAATAACATTTCTCACAGTTATTATAAAATTAAAATTTTATTGTGCTCAGTATATGCAATAATTAGCTTACACTTTTTAAAAGGTGATATGTGTAGCATGTATAAGTAATATAATCTATGTTTATATGGGAAGCTGTAATTTTATATCTATAGAAAATTGCTTAACTGGAGCAAAAAGGGTCTTTTTAATTATATGTTATTTTGAATAACTTCTGAATCTAAAGTTCATATGCTTATTTAGTGATTCTATTTCTGAAAAATTGCAAGCTAAAATTAGTTTGCTTTTAAAATAGCAGTTTGGAGGGGTTTGGTAATAACTAGAAATTTTAGTTTGTTTTTGCATTAATTTATTCAGTAATTATATTGTCAGAATGACTGGATTGGGCTCCAAATTGACTGTTCTCTTTTTAACCTTTTCTTTGATTTAATTCAGTAAATTTGATTCCCCTCCACTAAATTGCTAGATTTTAAGCACATTGGTGAAAAAGCAGTCCCATGTTTTCCCATCATATGCACTATGCTCCCCACAGACTTCAGCAAGGGTTTATTCACCTGGTGCAGTGGTTTGAAAATTGGTCTATTAAAACTAATGGGGCAAATGAAAGGTTACTTCTACCTTTGGTATATAGTTGGCCACATGAATGTTCATGCTGGCACAAGTGGTTGAATTGAAGAAAGGTGACACCAAAATTCTTGGCAGCAGTACCAGCACTGCTTAAAGTAACTTTGAAACTGTGGTTTGTGGTTGCTTGTTTATCATAATAATTACTAGAATTTAATACTGAAAATCATGCTTATAACAGCTGTCTTTTGAAAACTACAAACAATTTGAGATGCCATATTCTCAGAATGGATAAATTCAAGTAGATAACTCTTACCCTGGTACATACTTAGATTTGGGTTTAAAAAGTAATAAAGTGACCAGCTTTTTTATAATCTGTCTTTAGTGATGATGATGTCGAAGAATCTCATCCAATGGATGGAAATGATAGTGATTATGATCCCAAAAAAGAAGCCAAAAAGGAGGTAACAGATAACTTAATGGTGAATGTCAGTTTGTTTGTTTTCAGTGAATGTGTTACTGTGAAGACTGAGTTGTAGTACAGAGGTTTAAGTTTTAACCTGTTGAACTCCCAGGGTCTTTAAGGAGTCAGGATCTTGATGATTTCTCACTGAAACAAAATTGTATCATATATTTGTGCCATTTTGTGGCTGTAAATGCATCTCTCATTACCTCCACTGTGTCCTGAGAGCTCTTCAATTTTTGGGTGAGATGTATCCTCTCACAACCTAGTAAAACAGGTTGTATTTGCCCTCCTTCAGTCTTGTTAATATGTTTGCACTTTTACTGGTTGTGAATTATTTGAATCAAAATGTTTTCTTTGAATTTTAAAATTAAATTACATTTTTCAAAGAACAACTTTTGTTGTTTGTTCAAAGCCACAATGAGGTGATGCATTTCAACTAATATGTGGTTTTACTGAGATGCTTTTAACTAATAGATGTAGAGGAAAAACATTTTTGTCCTAATGAGCACTTACTGTTAGCTTTACAGATGACTGCTGTGTTCAGGGTATGTTCAGGTTTTAGGAGTTTGAGTATTTGTTCTAAACATTAAGCTATCTATGAACAAGAGTAGAAAAACACATTTAAGTGTGTGTTTAGTTCTTTCTTTTATCAACTTTAAGCATTTGTGACCTTCCTAAGTCAGCCAGTTCATGCTTCTCAAGAGTGAGAGGAGAGGTTATGCAAAACTTCAGCACTCCCATGAAGGGGTATCTAGGATTATGAATAAAACTTTGCACTTTTCACCAAAATAATATTGAGTAAGAGAGTGATAAGTTTAGCTTCTGTTCTGAGCTTTGCAGTGACCTTCGATGTATCCCTTTATCTACTGGCCTTAGGGGAAAAAGGACAATTATCCCTTTCAGTGAAAGAGTTCAAGATTACTTTTTTAACATGGGCATGTTTTATAGTACTTGCAATGTCATGTGGTCTGATAATGTACCTTTTTACTTTTCTCTGTTCTAACAATGTCCCTGCAATCTAATGATTAGAGTTGCTGCCTTAGCCATGTCTAAATAAGGGCTATTTTGCTCAATTTACTTGGTTATAGTTTGAATCATGACATGCAGTCCAGAATGCAAGTGGTGTGTTGATAGACTTCTAGGAAAAGGACAAATAGATTTGTAGTTTCTGATGAGCTGTTTGGATCTGTGCAAGATAATTTTGTGATCTAATAGTTCTGGTAGGATTTGCATGCTTTCACTTCCTAAGCAGAATATAAACTGAGTAGGCTGCTTGAGCACACAGAGCATTGGAAACTTTCTGTTACCAGATAAAACAAATATAACCTAAGCTCTCTATCTTGGCAAGACAAAATTATGAGAGAATATTTTCACTTTAAATCCAGATTGAACACACAGGAACTGCAATTTCATACTGAAAGAGCAATGCAGAACCAAAACCCAAATAAGTATAAACAGGGCAGAAGTAAACTTAACCTTGAATTTTTTACATGTCAAAGATGTAATGCTCTATATTAGTTTTCTGGGGAAGAGCACATATCTTAAGTGCTTTTAAGGTGGCCTCTATGAAGTCTGGGGGCTGGATTAAGATGTTATATTAGCTGGGGAAGAGAATGTGGCACAAGGTCAAGTGTAGTAAAACAAGACTCTGTTTGCTGCTCTGCACTACTACTACAGAAAATAATAATAATGATAATAAAGGCTGCTGCACTTGGTTTTGCAGTTACTGTGATCAGATGACCACCTCCTCTTAACATGCATGGATGCCAGCAGGCAGGAGCAGTAGGGAGCTGCTTGAAGTAGGGAAAAGCCTGAGTTCTCTTTCTGTTCTGGTACTAAGCATTCCTTTGAATTAGAATATCCTTGCAGAGAAAGTAATTTTTGTGTCTCTGCTCCTGGCCTATAGGGAAACTACTCAGTTGCTCTGAGGGAGTCACATACATGCAGAGAATGTTTAGGTGCCCATACATACCAAAACAAAGACTTAATTTCCTCTTTGCCATTCCTTTTCCTTCCAAAGAAGCAAATAATCAAGGCCCATGTTTTCTAAATTACATAGATTTTTATAATGACTGCAGGGGTATGTCCATACTCTCTCTTCCAAATCCCGAATCAGCTCCTCCCCATCCCCTCAAACCAAACAGTACAGTCTCTTTGTGGAGAGTGCTTACAGCAGGGAGAGATGTAATTTTGCATTCTTGCCTGGCCTAGTTGAATTTTTCATTCTTCTCCTTTAGTATTTGCCCAAATTCTTCGTATCTGATCAGAAATAAATGTGTAAAGTCACTGATTATTTGTTTTAAAAGCGAGATACATACATGTATATTGCTTATGTAAGAGATCCATAATGTTTGCCCTCTGTCACAGTATTCAGACTGGGATTTCCATACCACTTACTGTATTTGTGGCCATATTAAAAAAGTTTTGAGAACTGACCTTTCTCAGAGTAATGCAGGCTTATCCAGCAGATGACTGGTATGCTCCATCAACTCATCTGCAAGCCATAGTTGGATACTACATGCGAAGGAGGATGTTAGCTTAGGTTTTATTTGTCATAAATACGACATTACAATGCTATCTGATACTTCATTCTTTTTAGTAAACTTGTATACAAGATACTGTTATTCTTTAATGATTTATTTCTTGTAAATTAAAGGGCAATAATGAGCAGCCTGTTCAGACCAGCAAAATAGGTCTGGGTAGAAGAGAGTATCAGAGCTTGCAGCATCGCCACCATTCCCAGCGTTCCAAATGCCGGCCACCCAAAGGCATGTACCTGACCCAGGAAGATGTGATAGCTGTTTCCTGTAGTCCCAATGCAGCCAACACAATTCTTAGACAGCTGGATATGGAACTAATCTCATTAAAGCGACAGGTACCATGGGTTATTGGTCTTGGTTTGTTTTTTTTTTTTATCTCAGATTGTTCTGATTGTAATGGTTTTGAAGATTCTGAAACTTCTTTAGATTCTGTGAAGATTCTGAAACTTCTTTAATGTGAGTCTTCCTTGTTTTGTTCCACAGTTATCACCACAAATGCTGGATAGTAGCTGCTCTTCAGTTTTGTTTTTTACGTTCATCTGCTCTTTTGGATAAAATGAAGCAAGATTACTTTTTACTTTTTTCAAAAAAAGGGTAGCATTAAAACAGTGCTACAGATTTGGGGACAGGAAAAATCAAAAGTCACATTTGATTTGAATTTTTTTTTTTACTTTGTTAGAAGTATTTGTTTGAAAAGCCATAACGAGACCAATGGAGCAGAGGAAGTTACATTTGTTATGCTTTAAATTGTAGCTTTTTTTTATGGATGTCCTTTCCCACAAATTATGAAAGTATGAGAGGTGTGTGGAACCTAGATGTGTGGACCTAGTTATGTCTCTGTTTGAATTGATAAGTTTTCTACTTCTTATTAAATTTAGAAAAGCTTTTTAGTCTTCACCTTTAAGAGGAAAATTGCCTGCGCCCTTTGCATGAAGAAATTAAATTTTAGCATTTAAAGTTGAACCATGTAATTATTCAGCTTCTAAGGGTACAGTAGTTATGTGCATGCTTGCTTTCTAGGAGCGATGGGGCTACAGAGCCAAGGCTTATCTTCTGGAATTTCTGCCTCCTTATAGAACTGCCATGTTGCAAAATCGTGGAGGGTTTTTTTTTTCATGGGGTTTTTGCTCCCTTATGTTCTTTTCCAGGAGAAATAAGCTTCTTTCTGTCACAGCAGGACTCTGGGGCTAAATAGCATAGGTGGGTTTCACTCTTTAGCCTTAAGTGTAGGTGAGTTTCAGCCTTGAGGTTGTGTTTCTCTTTTTTTTCTTTTTTTCTTTTTTTTTTTCTTTTCTTGCAGTGATCTCAGAGATGCAGCCTTTGGAATCTCCCACTGAGTTGTCTGCTTTTGTGTCCATGCTTAAGAACCCTTGTAATAGCTGTGCACCATAGTATGCAAAACTATTTTCTTACCTATGTTATGTGCATCAATGTCAGATTTAAGTGGTTCAAAGATGTGTATATGTACAATTTGGAAGGTCTCTTTTTAAAAACTAAGAAATATTTAAAATAATTTCAAGAATCCCCCCTAATTAAATTAGAATGATCTCAGGTCAATGAAAAGCATCTGTCAGAAGGAACTAACTGAAAACATCTCATAAATTTATTTTTTTTTAAGAAGGAAGAAGTTAATAATATATGCAATACATCTCACATGTCTAAAAATGAAGTTTTGTGTCTAGAGTATTCTTAATTCTTCAAGAACCTATGCATCTTATCAAAAATTACTTGTTGTGAACAGCTTTTAATATTCTTGCAAACAAACTGTTCTTCTGAAAGACTGGCTTAATTTTTTTTCTCTATACTAAACTGATGTGTTTTGTTTTGGTTTTTTAAAGTTTTTTTTTAAACAGTTAAAAGTAGTGAAGCCTTAAACCATAATATTTCTCTTTTTAACTTAGGAGGTACACTTGTGGCAATCCTAGTGAAGATAAATGTGTAAAGTGACCAACTTTCTTTGTGGAGCTGATTAACTTTGTTGTTTTTGACCAAGGTTCAAAATGCTAAGCAAGTAAACAGTGCACTTAAACAGAAAATGGAAGGCGGGATTGAAGAATTCAAACCTCCTGAGGTAAATCAGAACAAACACTCAAACTTGTGGCCTTGCACTTCTGAAGTGTCATGTCTGTCCACAGTAATAGGGAGCTGAAATTGAGCCCTGATACATGGGGGCTTTTTGGATTAAAAATAGGTAATGTAGATTGCCAGTAATAAATGGTGTTCTGTGTGAAAACATGACTATATATACATTTTGGCATCTAAAATGAATGATCTATTTCTACTGAAGTTCTGGTTTTGCTTGTTTTAAAGGCTTGGATATGAAACATAACATGAATTCAAAATGCTCTAAACACCAAGTCCAAATAGTTTAGACAAATGTTACTATAAATTCAAATTCTGTCTGCATAAAGATCATTAGCTTGTGCATAAGTTATTATGTAGATGATACTAATAATTGCAATAAAACAGAGGAAAAACTGCTGGCATAGTTTTAAGCTTAATTCCATAAACAGTATTTCCTCTGCATGAAAGCAATCTTAAACTATAAATTTTTGGCTTATAAGCAAGAGGTTTTTACCCATTTTGCAAACTGTAGTGCAAGTAAAATAGATAGATGCTCGGATATCTTGCAGCTGTTGAAACAATTTAATGATCTTTGTGCCATTTTTCTAATTTTAATAGTCTAATCAGAAAATCAATGCCCGTTGGACCACAGAAGAGCAGCTTCTTGCAGTACAAGGTATGTTAATAGTAGCAGCAAGTTGAAATCTGATGCAAAGGATATGAAGAGGTGCTTAGGCTTTTATTTGTATTTCCCTCTAATGCAAAGCTAAACTTTTTCTGGTCACCAGGAAAACAGCAAAACTATTGAGAATATTTAGGACATTTATCAAGCAATATGACATTAGGCTTTCTGTTACCCATGTTAAATTTCAAAGAGAAAAGCTATGCAGGATTTAACAACTGTATTAGTACCAGAAAGTCCCTTCAATCATCTTCTAAATCACATTACATGAATTTCTCTAATGTAGAAGACTAAAGCAATTGTTAAAGTAATAAAATGTGAAGCATTTAAGACATTTCCAGTATCCTAAGGTAGGAAAAAGCAGAAGTAAATCTGCTTTACTGTTGCTTTTCCTTGTTCATGAGGGAGTAATGGGCAGGTATCTACTCATTAGGCCTTTTAAGATCTAAAGATGGATATGGATGCTTGACTAACAGTCTTACTGGGCTAAAACCCCAGCATTTTCTGATAAGCTATTCATACAGTTTATTTGCATTTATTTCATTTATATGAGGGAAAACTGACTCTTGTATTAGCATGCACTGCCAAATCAAGGAACATGTAAGGGAAATATCTGGAGATGCTGTCTTGAAGGCATGTATTGACTCACTTATGGGGATCATCTTTTATAAAGATAATAGTTCAGTTATATCTATGTGCTTTATTCCTCTGTGTTCTTCACCTTGAAAATGAGAGACTGAGTTTTAGTATAAAATATTCACTGTATCAGGATATCAGTGTAAAGTTGTCAGGTATGCCATACCTGGTACTTATTTATTAGTCAGATGACTGACTGAACCTAAAGTTAGGTTATTTTGATGTGTGAATGGAAATGCAGAAAGATATGGTGAGTCTTAAATCATGCCTTTCAATTTACATACTTGTCCTCTGTCCTAGGTTCATTCTCTCACCATTTCTAAATACTTCAGTATTTTGTTCCCAGATGCAGCTAAAGGAGATGTCTCTAGTATGATATACTAGTAAGATAGACTTGCTGGAAGAGTGGGGAAAATCCAGGGTCATTGTGCCTGCCATAGAATGAAAGGATTCAAACCATCTTGCCTTTTCATAGTTTAATTATTGGAGTTCTCTCTAAGCAACAGTCTGGGAAGTGATAAGAATACAGTCAGTTATTGTTAAGCTGTGACACTCTGTGACCAACAAGACAAATAAACTAGAGAGCCTGAGCAAAAGAGAATGAGCATTGGTGGTGGCTCCTTGGAGAGGAGATCCAGTCTTCTGGTCTCTAGGAATGGTTCTGTGTTTTATAAAGGTAGTCAGCCTTAAGGATGGGGTGAGAAATCTGGCATTCTGGAAGAAATCTGTTTTCATTGACATGTGCTTCTTATATGTATTGTTTCCTCTGTGGACCCTTTCCCTTGTCACCATATAAAATGGAGATGAGAGAGAATCTTAATGACAAGAACAGTGTTCTAATTATCCCTCCCTAACTTAGTGCTTGCTCTCTCTCCTGGAATGAGAGGGCTGTCTCCCATGCCTCAGGCTAAGGACCCTGATTTCTTGCTTCAAAGCAATTCCTTGAGGTGGTAGACTCTAGGCATGAGGGAGCCATGCTGTGTTTTTCCCTGGCTTTGTTTTTAGAAGGTAGCCACAGTTGCTCTACTAAAAGCTTCCCTAATGTGCGTTAGGCTTGGATTTGAACGTTGACTTGAACACCAGGACATTTAGTTCGTACACTTTAGAACAGATGAATTTCATTAAATTTATTGATATATTTTGGCATCTGCTTTTAATAATTTTACAGAAATCACAAGCATTAAGCAGGTAGGTGGCACTTACATGATTTGTTCACTTGAATTTGGACAATAACTCTGACCAAGGAGATTGTAAATATAATCTGCAGTAATATAATTTTGGTACTGTTTTTTGTAAACATGAAAATACTCGTTATCTGTAGGCTAATCTCAAGGGATTGCTAGTAACTAAGGAAGAGGTAATGAGACAACCTATCTTAAAATAGAGCTGTGTGTAATCTTAAAAGCAGTGTAGGTGCCTGCAATGGGGTTGTGGACTCAGATTTACAATCTCTGAGCCAATATATTCACAATATAATTTATCAGCTATCAGTTCAGCTTTGAATAGTTGTTAAATGTAATGGGCTAGTTCATCAGTTAGTGTTTGTAAATTACAAAATTTTATGTACAGAAATGTATAAGAATGATCATATTTTCAAACTAAGATCTTGGCCATAAAAATGCAATTGCAAAAGTGTTTTAACACTTGTTCAAGACAACAAATTTACATTGAAAAGCTATGCATGACTTTCATGGCATTGCAGGGAAAAACAGTCGGGACAATCAGGATCTAACTCTACATAAGATAGTTGCCAGGAGCACTGTAATCCCATCACGGTGGAACTGCAGCTCCCATTAACTCTTTCTGCCTTGTTGTGGTGCTGTATCATATTGCTTTGCACCCTGATTAATATTGTGTTGGCTGTGCTGTACAACATGAAGAAGTGTAAACAGAATAATCAAACTTGGATTTATGAGTTTCTCCAAGAGAGACATTCAAGATAAAATGCTGTAATCAAGAGCATGCATGTGTTCCAGTGTACCTTTGCAGCTGGATGAAGTTCTTTCTGAAGAGCTTGAAGGATTCCTGTGAGCTGGGCTGCTTTCAAATGAGCTGGGAGAAAACCATTCATTCATGGGAAGTGAGGCTATGCAGTCCTCCTTTTTGAGCTTCACTTTCATTAGCCTAATAAAATTATTGAATCACGGTTTGAACACGTGAGAAATAATTTGAGGTGTTTAGCACTGAATTTGTATAAGGATGCATAAGAAATGTGCACCAGTTTGACAGGGATGGTGACTTGGCAACAACTCTTAGAGATATGCCATCACCTTATACATTGAAGTTTTATAAACACACAGTGAATTTTCTCTATTTCTTATGTGGCTTGAAGGGCTTTTAGTACGTCATTGTGGTAGAGCAGTGGTAATAATATTGAAAAGAATCCAAAATGAGCAGTGCTGTGTGCAGCTAAACTAAGGAAATTTTAGTTTATTTAGATTTTCTTTTTAAGAGTTGGGTTCTCAGTGAAGGCAAGAACACCTTGTTTTCAAGCTGTTTGCTTAGAAATAGGCTTTAAGACCTTATTTTTTGACAGCTTGAATTGAAGATAGCAAACAGGCTCAGTTGTTTTGCAGATTAAGGGAGGAAAGAAGTGTAGCCACCATAGTAACATAAAAGGCTGAAATCACTAAAAGTCTCTATTAGTTTCCTAACAGAAATGTGCTTTATTCTGCTGGGCACCTTGTTCACTTGATTAATTGTACAGGATGTTAGATATATTGCAGTGGATGTTCCATGTTCATTATAAATCAGTAAGGGTAGTAATTGTAGGGCAGACAAAGAATTTTAAAGCACTGGAGGCAATGTTGTGTGGGCACACACAGCTTTTAAGGAGTACAGCTGATACCTTGTACAACTGATAAAGCAGAGAGCCAAATCCCTGTCTTTGCTTTGCCTGGATCCATGCCCTCCCACGTGGCTCTGAAATCTTTCCAAGGTTCCTGCAATCGGGAGGGTTGTATTCTTTTGTACACTGCAGAAGATACTAAATAATGTAGCTGGGCTCCTGACAACTGAAACATCAGCTTCAGCCACAGAATTTGTTACTATCCTGGAGGTGAACTTTTCTTTTAAATTGCACAGAGTGTACATTACCACATCAGAAGTGCCTAATAACAAGGAAAGTAGAAAGGAGCAGAACAAACTGAAGGTCACACTCTTCACAATTAAGTTGAAAAGGAACATTGCTTTCAGATTTGAAACAACTCTCACTTTCTGAACACTTTGCTTCATTTTCTGAAGTGAGGCATGAAATCAGGCATAAATTTCTTTTCCTGTAATGAGAAAGAGTGCCTGTCCTCTAAGAACTGTAATATGTTCCAAATGAGTTTAACTATCACAAGCTTCACAGGAGAAGTCAAATTGTAATCCTCTCATGCATAACTGACAGCAAAAAAAGTCTTCTGTTTACCTACTCTGGAACAAAATTGGTTTATTTCTTCAAGTTTCCAAACTTGTAATTAAAAATATACTTTGTGCAGCTAAAAGCTATGTTCTAGGCGGTGGGAGAGGTTGAGGTTTTTTTTCTTAAGCCGGAGAGGGGAAGAACTAGACACATAGCCTAAATATAACAAAATATATATAATTTTTATTATAATTCAAATTTTAAGTTAAAAACTATGGAATGTTGTACTCTATTTTTTATTATATGCAGATGTAGTTTGAGCAGTATTTAAAATATATATTGGGGTTTTCGTTTGAAGTGCTCAAAAACAAAAGTGACTACTGATGTCAGTACAAAAATTAATGAAAAGAATACTGTAAAGCTCACCTGTCATGCTGCTTATCAGTAGAGGATTTAATCATGGAGGCTTTTGCTGGGCCATCTTATAAGCAGGCACTAGTAACTTAATATATTTACATTCTCCAAGGTGGAGAATGTAAATGTAAACCCCCAGATTTTTCTACGCAGGTAGAATGGTGAATGAAAGCTTCAAACAGGCTTTGCGGGGTGAACACTTGGCAGTTGCTGTGTGTAGCCTGAGTAGAGTGTGTCACAAGTGCAGGAACAGCAGTATATTGTGATTACAGATCTGTGCCCCCCTCTTCTGCCCTCTGCCTCTCCTGCCCCACTGGCCGTGGGAAAGAGCCCTCTGCGTGCAGCTGGTGTGGAGGGAGCCTGTAGGAGCTGTCAGTGTTTGTCACTGGATACTTGTAGCATTTTATTCTGTTTGCAGCCATTCACACGTGCTCAGTCACCCCTCCTCCCCTCTTGAGCTGGTCTTGGGCATCTGCCCTTACTGTGAGCACGCTGAAAGATTCACTCTGTCAGGGGCCAGATCTCTGTGGTTTTAGGTTGAGAGGCTTGGTGAGTAAGCCAGGATCTTTTAAGAAGAATGGGTAATGACTTTATTAAAAAGTTCTTGATTTGTATGTTGATAGCTGTGCTATTAAGAATTACTTTGTTTTAACGGAAATCGAGGCCTTCTCCTAATTGAGAAGTTCTCCTAATTAGTGAGTCTTCGGTTTGCAGGTCCCATAGGTTCTCTCTATAAATACATCACACGTAGCTGTGTCTGACTGATACTTCACAGCTATGTTATTTACTTTGCCTTCCAGGTGTCCGAAAATATGGTAAAGATTTTCAAGCTATTGCAGATGTAATTGGCAACAAGACTGTTGGCCAAGTGAAGAACTTCTTTGTAAACTACAGGCGTCGGTTTAACTTAGAGGAGGTATTGCAGGAATGGGAAGCGGAACAAGGAACCCTGGCTTCTAATGGTGATGCTTCTGCTTTAGGGGAGGACACAAAAAATACTTCTAATGTGCCATCAGGAAAGAGCACTGATGAAGAAGATGAGGTGTGTTTTGTGTACCAGAAATAAGTAAGCATGGGTTGAGGAACAGCATTTTATGTAGTGATAAAATATAAGGTTAACTGGTGTGGAGTGGCAATCCGCATTCTAAAGAATGATGATGAGCTTGCATAGAACTTCAGCCAATGTCGTTAACCAGCCGGGAGCAGGGCCGCACCTTTGATAGTGACGATCACGTTACTGTTTTACTGTTAAAATACACTTCTTGCTCTAGAAGAAGACTTGCTTTGTAAATATTTTTAGTTTTGCTGTCCATAATGTTTTGGTTGGTGATTTCTTTTCAGTAACTTCTCGGTTCTTTGGTTTTATATTATTAAATGCTGTTTCCTGTGTAGTGGCCAGTGGCAGCCCAACCGCCTGAGGTCCCGGCCGGGCCGGCCGTTCACACCGTCTTCTCTTTGTCCTTTGCGCAGGCACAAAGCACTCCGGCCACTCAGTGTTTAGGCCCTTCACCTCCGGCACACGCCTCTGCTCCGGCCCCTGCCGCTCCCGTGGCAGCCCTAAACCAGCCGCCCCCGTTACTGCGCCCGGCGCTCCCCGCCGCTCCCGCTCTGCACCGCCAGCCGCCGCCGCTGCAGCAGCAGGCGCGCTTCATCCAGCCGCGGCCCGCGCTGAACCAGCCGCCGCCGCCGCTCATCCGGCCCGCTAGCTCCGTGCCCCCCCGCCTCAACCCCCGGCCCGTGCTGGGCGCCGGCAGCGGCCAGCAGCCGCCCTCGCTCATCGGCATCCACACAGAACCTCAGTCCACTCTGCACTGAAGAAATACCAGCGCCATTATGCTGACTCCCACCTTTGAAAAATTGGATCCATGTACTTTTTTGTCCCTATCGTTATTTGGAAAAAAAGAGCGAGCCTTCACAGGTATCAGACCAGTTTTCCAGAGGAGCGAGCTAAGAACTAGACACGGAACGACGTCAATGACCACCTGTATAAAAATATTTTTATGCCGAAGACTTGTACAGCAGAACAATGCCTACACTGCAGCCCTCCTCTGTATGAATAACTGTTGAAGGAAGCTAACTTCTTAAATGAATAAATGTTCAACACACCAAGATTTTGTTTAACTGATTTTTACTCTATTTATTTTATTACGGTTCTTTATAGTCAAGCATCTAACTACAGGAAAGTAGTCTGGCAAATCTAGAAATAGATAATATTGTAGGAGACTTAAATGTAGTGTTGGGGTTTTTTGTGTGTGTGAATTTTTTAATTTTTTTTTTTTTATCTTTTAGTGAAAGAAAATAATGGCTTTAGGTTCAGAATGTTTGACCCTGTTTAGATAACAGCATTTCACCTACTTATAAAATGTAGGTCTTCTCTCCATGTTTTTCCCAGAACATCTTAGTTTGTTTTAAAAGGTACTGGCTTATTAAATACTCCTCTTTCAGAGTATTCTGAAGACTCAGTGAGCTATTGTACCAAATTTATTAAATCTCATGCGTGTTCTACTCATAGAATTTAACTGGAAGCAGGAGTCCAGTTTCTTGCTGCAGTCTTGTCTCGTGGGCTGGGCAGGATAGAGTGGCAGCAGCTTCCACCACCCAGGGGGATGACAGGACAGGATCCATCTAGCAAGAAGTATTAATTTAATTTGTTATCCCACTAATTCTTCTTATGTAAGTACAGTAGAATTCCATTCCTCTGAGAATGACTGTCTGCAGTTCGTGTGTGTTAGATCACTGATACCTTGCTTGAGCATTAATGAGGGAAGTGTAGAGGCTGGTGGTGCTGGTAGAGTATCATGAGAGTAGTTATCTCCTGCCAACCCAGTCTTACTTTTAAGTGATTTTCTCTTGACTCCTGCTATATTTCTGGCAAAGTTGATTACATGAGTTGAGGGTATTGGGGGAAGGACAAAGGTGTTTGTTTATTTTCTTGACTCAGTAAAACCTGCATATAGATATTAATATTGCTTCCAAATTATAGGAGTTTGAAAGAAACTCATTTCACTGCATTCTCGTCTGAAACCTTGAATGATGCCTAGTAGTCTTTCAGGGTGTGGGGGTTTTTTTGTGGTTTTTTTGTAAAAGCAGATGCCTCTAACCTCCAAGTAAACCAGGCTCCAAATATGAGTAGCACTGTTTGAAACTGTGTGATCTGAATTAAGCTATTGAAAAATAATGCATTCTTGATTATGTAATAATATTCATGTTGACTGTTGTCCTATTTGGAAAGGTTTTTTTGCTTATAGCTGAAATGGTGTCTAAAAGTCATTTTAACTCTTTTTTTTTTTAACTAGATTTGCCCTTGACTAAAATGAGACTTTTTATGCAAATGGGATGTGCTCTCCCTAGGTTTTTTTTCACAGATAAATTAGGTGGTCTAATGATCAGTTTAGCAGCTAAATAAGGTCTTTTTTTAATGTGCAAAGGGAAGTTCTTGTACTATCAGATTCTATTTCATTTGAAAATCTAGTATTAAAGTTTGATAGTTGTAACCTGAATTGCAGTTGAAGTGTTGACCTTTATGTTTTAATTCTTCATTTTAAAATACTCAGATCAAACTTGAGAGATTTTTCTTTATGAAGAGCTTTCACTGGTGTGCTGAGGTGTCATACAAAATGGTCTTTCTTACAAATTTTCTTTTGCATCAGAGTAGGTGCTTAGCCACTATGTGAGCATCAGATGATCCCGTGTCTAAGTAAAGCAGAATTTTAAAACAAGCACCAAGGAGTTAGTGGTCATGGAAACTTGTGTTCTGGGAGTCATAAGTCTTTAGTGTGCCCTCATCAGCTGCACACAAATCTGGCTGCTCTCTGGTCTTTAAAACCAATAAAAAACCAAGATGGTACATTTTTACAGTTTAATTGTTAACAGTGGTAAGATTCATCTTCGGGATTTTTTTTCTTTTTTTTTTGGTTTTTTTTTTTGTTTACTTTAAGCATTGAGTCTCCCAGGTGTGTGTATTGTACATCCGCTAATTTTTGTCTTGTCTCTTGTCGATAGACTTCAGTATGCAGAATGTTGGGTGTTACAGTACAGTTGGCCACCACCAACTGCTATGAAACTGTTCAGTACATTGTAATTCCGTTTAATCTTGTTTAAATATTCTATAACTGGGCAAAGGTGCTGTATTTGAAGGGGGGAGGGAGGGTCAGAGATAGGTAGGGTAGTATTTCTTAATTTACCTACACTGTAGCACACAGTAGGGAACTCCTAGCATTTGTAGTACTAAATAAGTATGTACATAGCAAAATGTCTTTATTGTGTGCTTTGCAGAATATGTGCATACAGTTTGCACGTCCTGTTTTGGGGGGTAGGGTATGTTTTAAGCAGTGTTTGCCTGGAGAGTGATTTGCTTGCTGCTTAATCAAAGGATTAAAGTTTCAAAGAAATCTGTGTCTTCTATTTTTATGTACCTTGTAATGGTCTAATATGTTAGGGCCCTTATACTGTGATTCTCTTCTAAATTCATTTCTATTTTTTTAAGAATTAGAAATAAAATTATACAATGGTGTTGATTTCAGTGGGAAATTTCTTTTGCCATATCTAGTCTCCTGTTTTGTAATGTAGTAATGAACTCTGACTTCAAGGTTGGCTTAATTTTGTCACTTTAAAAAATGTACAATGTTTGCACACTAACGTTGGGCAGAGAACGTGTATCCTACATTGTTCAAAGCTAATGTAACTCTACAGCTTTTTGTACAGTTTATTTTAGTTAATAAAGCAAAACGGTACTAAAAAATTACATTTTACAAATGCAAGGCATAATCAGAACATGTATTCAAGAAACAACACTTGCAAAATATGGATGTACAAGAACTATCAGATTTAATTGTTGCACTTTAAATCAGAATGGGTACGAAGTTGAGCAGGTATTTCTGCATTTAATAAAACAATCACTAAACATTGCACATCATAGTAAAGCAGTTTAATTTGTTGCTCCTGAGCAAAAAGAAATAGGTACTTTTGTCCTTAGGGTTTTTTTCATCCTTAGAGTGTTGGGATTTTTCTCTACTCTGGAAGCCTCACAATGCATGAAGAACAGAGTGCACACCAGTAGCTTACAGGTATGGGAGTTTGTGTATGGACAGAGACAAAATGCAGAGTTTGGGATGAAGGTTACTAGGACTATGTTGTGCCTCTTTAGAGCAAAAGAAAGGAATAGACTGAACTTACAGCCGAGGCCAGGCAGAAATGTGGTTGTCAGGCAAAAAAGCAAAGCCAAACATCATGAAATAGTGTGCTTGGAGATGTGTTTCATATTGCTAGGGAAGTGGTAGAGAAGTCAGCAATGTTGCACTGTAAACAGCACTGAATACAGCTCAGTCATCCAGCTAAACGTGGTGAACCTCCAGCTTTTCCTGAGGCTGAGGTAGAGTTTGCCTTTCTCAGAGTGAGTTAAAGCCAGGCACTGATGGGATAGACATCTGCTTTATGATCCTAGGCAGTTGTATATGAGATATAAAGGCAAACATGAACTCTTTAACACCACTCAGTCCATTGCCAATGAATTAGGTGTCAAAAATGTACAGTCAGGTAGGGACAAGAAGCAGAATATACAGGCAACAGTATCTGGACTATTTCATTAGCAGGTGTCCCCTTTTATAGAACAGACATCCTCAAAATTAATTCTGAAATACAACTTTGGAAAACTACTTCATTTTCACCACTAGTGAAGGCTGCTACTTTTTAGTTCTAATTCTTTAATCTTAAAGCTCTTTTTCAGTGCAGTTTTGTACACTGAAAGAATTCTGGCAGCACAATAAATCCTCATTGCTGTTACTGACTTGGCAGTTTTCCCTTGGATTGGCTCAAAAGGAAGCACTGAGATTCAGGGATTGTGATCTCTACTGCAGCTTCAAGGATGCAACTTTGTCTTAATGCAGACCAGGCATCCTGTTATGCTCACTGAACCTTAAGTGAAGAGGGATTTTTAAACTAATGCCTGCACCTTGATATCTGATGGTTTTATTCATCCCCACAAAGCAGTGTTCTGGGGAATTATGTTCTGCACTGGGAGGATAGTGCAGCCAATGACCAGCTAGGGAACCTGATCCCATCTCTAAGCTATTCATTTAAACTTATAAATATTTAATTACAGAAACATAATGCTTGTTGTTCTGACGGATCTTCCTGTGAACTTCCGGCAAGTCGTACCCAGACTAATCAGGATATTCCTAAAAGCTAATAAAAAAATAAAACCAACCTAATTTTTGCAAGGAGTGTTTTTAAAAGTGTCTGTCGTAGTAATGCCTTTGCTGGGTTCCCAGACTCAATGCACTATGGACTGACTCCCTCGGGAGTGACAATTCTGAGTCATTTTAGCAAAAGAAGAATCTTTCTGAAACCATTTCATTAGTATTGGTTTTAGAGCTCCTTTGAAGACAATACAGATAAAGTGACCCAATTGTTTCTTTTTTTGTCAGCCTTAGTGCTTTTGTGCGTGTGCTAGGATGGAATGTTCCTTAGAGACTGGTTTTCCTAGAAGTGGTTTAATGTGAAAGACAGAACAAAGTGCAGCAGCAGGTGATGTGGAACAGGCAGCAAAGCCCTCACATCAGTACTGTTGGTTGGAGGAGGGCGGCGTTGCCTGCCTTTGTAAGGAACCCTTCGGCACGTCTCGGGTCATTAGCCAGCAGTCCCGGCACGTAACAGTAATATAATAATAGCAAATAATAACAGGCATGCGGCACGTCCGTGTCCTTTGCCTATTTAGCGCGGGCTTTGTTTCGCTCCTTCAGTCCCGCAGGTGCAAATAGTGAAAAGAGCAATACCTGCCCTCCCTGCAGGCAGCGGCTGCTGCGCCCGAGCCCCGCCGCCGCTCCTCGCTACCGCTCCTGGAAAACTCCCTGGCCTGCCGGGAGGGCAGCGGCGCGGCTCTGCCGCCCTGACCGCGCCTCACCGGCGTTTGGGGGCTGCGGGCCGGTGTGCGGAGCCCGGGGCCGGCGGCGGCTGAGGAAGGGCTGCCAGGGAGCCTTCCCCAGCCGCGGCTCCCGGCGCCGCCGTCCCTCACGAGGGGGGGATGCCGCCGCTCCCTCCCCCAGCCCGGGAGTGCCGCCGGCGCTGCCCGAGCGGGGCGGTGCCGCCGCCGCCGCCGCCGGGGTCTCCCC